TATTTTTTTCAGCTGAGTAGTGTTCCATTGTGTAAATATACCACATTTTCCTTATCCATTCTTTAGTTGAGGGGCATCTAGGTTGTTTCCAGTTTCTAGCTATTATGAATAATGTAGCTATGAACATTGTTGAGCAAATGTCCTTGTGGTATGATTGAGCATGTTTGGGTATATGCCCAAGAGTGGTATCACTGGGTGTTGAGGAAGATTGATTCCCAATTTTCTTAGAAACTGCCATACTGATTTCCAAAGTGGTTGTACAAGTCTGCACTCCCACCAGCAGTTGGAGGAGTGTCCTGACTCTACATACTCTCCAACATAAGCTGTCCCCAGTATTTTTTATCTTAGCCATCCTGGCAGGAGTAAGATGGTATCTCAGAGTCACTTTGATTTGGATTTCCATGAAGATTAAGGATATTGAGCAATTCCTTAAATTTTGTGGAGTATAGGTTTTTGAAATATGATTTGATGGATTCTCTGGATTTCCTCAGTGCCCATCGTTATGTCCCCCTTGTCATTTCTTATTTTGTTAATTTGGATATTTTTTCTCTGCTTTTTTGGTTAATTTGGATAAAGGTTTGTCTATCTTGTTGATTTTCTTGAATAATTAACTCCTTGTTTCATTGATTCTATTGTTATTTTTGTTTTACTTTATTAATTTCATCCCTTGATTTAATTATTTTCTGGCATCTACTCTTCCTGGGTGAGTATACTTCTTTTGGTTCTAGAGCTTTTAGGTGTTCTGTTAGTTCACTAGTGTGGGATTCCTTCAACTTCTTTATGTTGGCATTTATTTCTATGAAATTTCCTCTTAGCACTGCTTTCATAGTGTCTCCTAAGTTTGGGTATGATGAACATTCATTTACATTGAATTTTAGAAAATCTTTAATTTCTTTCTTTACTTATTCTTCAACCCAGGGGTGAGTCAGTTAGGCATTATTCAGTTTCCATGAGTTTGTAGGTTTTCTGCACTTTTTGCTGTTATTGAATTCTAATTTTAAGCCATGGTGATCAGATAAAACATGGAGGGATTATTCCAATTTTTTGGTATCTGTTGAGATTTTCTTTGTGACAGAGTATGTGATCAATTTTTGAGAAGGTTCAATGTGTTGCTGAGAAGAAGGTATATTCTTCTGTGTTTGGGTGGAATGTTTTATAGATGTCTGTTAAGCCCATTTGTATCATAAGGCTTGTTACAGCCCTTATTTTTCTGTTAATTTTATGTCTGGCAGACCTGTCCACTGGTGAGAGTTGGAAGTTGAAGTCTCCCTCTATTCGTGTGTATGGTTTAATGTGTGATTTAAGATTTAATACTTTTTATGAGTGTGGATGCTTTTATATTTGGGGCATATGTATGTTCAGGTTTGTGACTTCTTGATGGATTTTTTTTCTGTGATGGATGTGAAATGTACTTTGTCATCTCTTTTGACTACCATTATTTGAAGTCTATTTTGCTAGATATTAGGATAGCTATACCAATTTTCTTTTTAGGTCCATTTGATTTGGAAGTCCTTTCCCAACACTTTACTTGGGGGTAATGTCTGTCTTTGAAGTTGAGGTGGGTTTCTTGTATGTATCCAAAGGTTGGATCCTGTTTTTGTACCCATTCTGTTATCCTGTGTCTTTTTAAAGGTGAGTTGAGTCCAGTGATATTAAGGGATATCAATGGCCAGTTACTGTTGATTCCTGTTATTTTTTGGTGGTGGTGTGTGTATGTTTCCTTTTCATAGGATTCACTGGTGTAGGATTATGTATTGCCTTGGGTTGAAGTTTTCTTTCTAGTGTTTTCTGTAGGGCTGGATTTGTGGATATGTATTATTTAAATCTGGTTTTGTCATGGAAAATCTTGTTTACTCCATCTACAGTGATTGAAAGTTTTTCTGGCCATAGTAGTCTGGGTTGATATCTATGGTCTCTTAGAGTTTGCATAGTGTCTCCAGGACCTTCTGGCTTTGAGAGTCTACATTGAGAAGTCAGCTGTTATGATGTGTCTTCATTTATATGGTACTTGATCATATCTCCTTTCCAGCTCTTAATATTCTTTCTTTAGTTTGTATATTTTGAGTTTTGATTATTATGTGGTAAGAGGAGGGTTTTTTTGTTTGTTTGTTTTTGTTGTTTTTGGTCTTGGTTCTGTCTATTTGGTATGCTTTACGCTTCTTGTATCTTCATAGGCATTTCCTTCTTTAGGTTGGGGAAGTTTTCTTCTGTGAGTTTGTTGAATATATTTCTGTGCCTTTGAGCTGGTATTCTTTTGCATCTTCTATCCCTATTATTCTTATTTTTGGTCTTTTCATGGTACTCATATTTCCTGAACATTTTATGTTATTACTGTGTTTGCTTTAATATTTTCTTTGAATGATAAGATGAATCTATTTCCTCTATGGTATCCTCAATGCCTGAGATTCTTTTCTCCACATCTTGTATTCTGTTGGTTACGCTTCATCTATAATCCATTTCCAAAATTCCTTGGTTTTATGTTTTCTTTATTACCTCTATTTCAATTTTTCAAGTCTTAGACTTATTTGTTTGTTTGTTTTCCTGATTTTCTTTAGGAGATTTACTGATTTTTCCTTCCAATTTATGTTTGTCATTTCTTCTGTTTAAGAGATTTTTTATTTCTTGTTTAAGGACCTCTATTACCTTCATAAAGTTAGTTTTAAGGTCACTTTATTCTGCTTCTTCTGCACTGGGATGTTCACGACTTGCTGTTGTAGGACCACTAGGTTCTAGTGTTAACATATTTATTGTTCTTTAGGTTCTTGAATTTATTCTTGCATTGGCTTTTACCCATCTCTTTCTCTAGTCCGAAGTAGGCAGGTTTTTTTGCCTCTTTTTTTTTTAATTAAAATTTTTATTTAAATTAGAAACAATCTTATTTTACATTTCAATCCCCATTCCCTCTCCTTCCCACCCCCTTCTGTTCCCTAAGGAGGGTGATGCCTTCCATGAAGTATCATCAAAATCTTTCAAGTCATTTGGGGTAGGGCCTAGGCCTTCCCCTGTGTCTCTAGGCTAAGGGAGTATCTCTCTGTGGGAATGGACTCCTGAAGTCCATTTGTGTATGAGGGTTACATTCTGGTTCCACTGCCAGAGGCTGAATAGACTGCCCTGTCCTCCCATCTGACATCCACTTTCAGTAGGCCTGGTTTGGTCCTATGTTGGTTCACGAGCTGTCAGATTGGGATGCATGAGTTCCCATTTGCTCAGGTCATTTGTTTCTGTAATTTTTCCCAGAGTGGTCTTTACCCCTTTGTTCCTAACTCCTCCCTCTCTAAAACTAGATTCCAGGAGTTTGGCTCAGTGCTTAGTTGTTGATCTCTGCTCCTGTTTCCATCAGCTACTGGATGAAGGCTTTAGGATGGAATTTAAGGTAGCTATCTCTCTCATTATCAGGGAAGGGCATTTAAGGTAGCCTCTCCAATATTGCTTAGATTCTTAGTTGGGGTCATTCTTGTGGGTCTCTGTACAATTCCCTAGTGCCAGATTTCTCTTTAAACCTATAATGGCTCCCTCTATTGATATGTCTCTTTTCTTGCTTTCCTCTAGTCATCTCCCCATTCAATCTTCCTGATCCATCATGTTCTTCTCCCCCTCCTCTTCTCCCCTTCTCTTTTTCCTATCTCCTTACTTCCCTTCCCCTTCCTCCACATTGCTCCCAATATTTACAGGGCAATCTTGTCCCTTTCCTTTTCATTGGGGGACTGTGTATGTCTCTCTTATAGTTCTCCTTGTTTCCTAGCTTCTCTGGAGGTATGGATTGTAGTTTGATAAATCTTTGCTTTATGTCTAATATCCATTTATGAGTAAGCACATACCATGTTTGTCTTTCTGTGAGTTACCTCACTTAGGATAGTTTCTTCTAGCTCCATCCATTTGCCTGTGAATTTCAAGATTCTAGTTTTTTTTTTTTTTTTTTAGCCCCACTGAGTAGAAATCCTTTGTATAAATGTACCACATTTTTTGTATCCATTCTTTGGTTGAGGGGTATCTAGGTTGTTTCCAGGTTCTGGCTATTACAAATAATGCTGCTATGAACATAGTTGAACAGATGTCCTTGTTGTATAAATATGCATCCTTTGGGATCCCTGCAGACAGTGTCTCAGGGATCCTCAGTTGGACTGACTGGCATGGTCATTTTCTGTGTCTCAAGGAGCCACTCTTGGTCAGCTCTCTTAGTTCTCTCTGTGTTGTTATTCTCTATGTCTTAGGGAGACACTGAGGACATGGGGTATGGGTAGGTTTGGGTGCAGAATGGGACTTGTAGGTTACAGGGTCCAGTGGTGGGTGGTAGTGTTGGTGTATCCTGCCTTTCCTGCTGACTTGTAAATGCAGCTGAGATGGGTGGGGAAGTGGCCTGGAGTTTTGCCCCAGTACCTAGGCCTAGAGGCTATTTGGTTCAGATGGTAAGCTAGTCACTTACTTCTCAGTCCTCTCTGTGCATTTATTATCTTGTTTATTTCTCACCACAAATTAACGACACAGACATAATTGTATTATATTGTATTTTAGAACCTGAAACCTGTATAAAATGGTAAGAAACTTAAGAAACCTCAAGCCCATGCTCCAGCAAAAGAGGATTCTTGGATTTTTGTTTGTTTGTTTCATTTTAGTTTGACTAAAAAAGAAACCACTCTCTAGTGACAATTAAAAAGAGAACACAAGACTAACTTTGAGGATGGGTTGGACAAATATCTCCACAGTTAAGAGGACTCTGCAAAAGACCTGTGTTCTTGTTCCAGTATCTATACCGGGTGATTCACAACATCCCATAACTCCAGCTCTAGGGATTCTGTCACTCTCTTTTGGCCTTGGGTGAGGGGGCAAAACCTCCTTCACATACACATAATTATTAAGAATTATTTTCTAAAGGCAATAGGCTCAATGCAGTCTTCACCATTTTTCCAGCTTTTAATGCTCAAAGCAAACATTTCTTGTCAATATTTATACCTTGTAGTTAAAATAAAATATTAATAAGTTCAAATTTATTTAAATCATAGATTGAAAAGTATGGATTCCCTTCTGACCTTGCCTTTTCACCTCGAGAAAGTATCCAGCTATATGACACTATGATTCAGGTCTGGGAGAGTTGGCCTCAGGCTCAGGTAAAGAATCTTCATGGAATTCACACTGTTGTGGTATAACCCACCTTTGCTGTTCGGATCACACAGCCACCATTTTTTTTCCACTTGCATGTGGTGACTTAAAATGATTAACAGACCTTTCCCCAGAGTAAATGGTATCCTCATGTCTTCTCTTTTAAATGGACTAGAAATGGTGTCTTCTGTCAATTCCTAAAAGTGCCCCTTCTTTTTCCTTCCCAGACACTGTGGTATCTGGGTCTCCTTTCCCACTCTGGGTTTCTAGTCTTCAGATTCTTTTCATCTCACATTGTTCTCTGTGTCCTGAGTGCTGGTTGCTTTCTCTGGAAACCTGTTTGCTCTGTGTCCTTGCCTTTGAAGAGTTCATACATAGTTCTATATACTAGAAGGTATGGGGTGGTAGGAGAAGACCAACTGCTTCTAATACAAGAGAGTGTAAAACTGTACATGAAAAATAGAATTGAGAAATATCTTTATATTTTCTGAACTTATTTTTATGGAATTTTATGGTCTTCCTTTCCCAGAACCTGTGTCCAGAGAACTTCACTCATTTTAAGAACAAAATAGTCATTAAAAAGTCTGATGCTAGAAAATATGAGAAGTGCTTAAAAGAAGAATTCACAAATTGGATTAAAAATGGGAACGAGGAACAGGTGATTTTATACATTCTGGGCAAAGAACTCCATTTTCGTTTTCTTGACTTATATCATTATTTTTGATTTTTAAGTTTGACTTAATGGACGTGTAGTGCTTCCAAGCTAGAAATAAAAGAGAAAGGACATTGATTTTTATCTCTTCTTCAGTGTCCTTTATACCTTGACAAGAAACTAGCTATGGTTTGTTTCCTCACGCATTTGATGGCATACAAGAGAGAACACAGGGTTTGTGCTTGGGATAACTGATGTTTTTGGCAGCATAGAAATGGGACTACAGTAGCTGTAACACATTTTTACTTTTATTCCTTTTGTAATTTTGGCATTTTATTCTCTTTAAAAAATTATTGAGAATTTCATGTACTTGTGTACAAGTCCACTCCCCAATCCTTGCCTCCAAGTCCTCCCTTGTCCCTCTTGCCAATTCCCCTTCCAACTTCATGTGCTCTTTTTAAAACTCACTGAGTGTACTCAATGCTGCCAGTGTGTGCATGGGTGTGGGGTCCTCCACTGGAACGCTGGCCACAGTGACTCGCCCCCTCCCACAGTACCCATCATTTGTCAGTAGCTCCTTAGCTAGAGGTGAGACTGTGAGCCCCCTCCTCACTTGTGTGGATATTATTTCAGGCTTGATCGTATGAACACTTTTGCAGGTATCCACAGCTGCTGTGAGATGTATTCATATGTTCAATGTTCCGGTCATGTCCAGAGACACTGTTTTGCAGCAGTCCTTGGGGTTATGAATCTTATTTTAATTTGTAAGAACTATTTAAGACCTAAAGTTTTACTCTGGAACTATATTCTTACTAGTTTATTTTATTTAAGTTTATAGTCTTATTTTATCATCAAAATTGAGATGTCTCACTTTTATTTTAGGAAGAACATTCATGATTGTTTTTCATGTGATCCTCTCCCCATCCTCATACCTTGATATTTTTTTTCTTGCATTTGGGGATATAATATAGTTAAGTTACATTTTCTTTTTTTTAATGTTAAGTTACATTTTCCTTTAGTTTTCTTGTCTTTTAAAACCTGAGTGAGATTTGGCTATACTTTTCTATGCAGTCTGAAGAGTACTCCTTTCTCCTGCTATGGGAAACAGTACCACTGACTGAACAATCCTTCTCCTCCTGCCAGATTTGTGTTGTCTTAAATAATTGCATTTGTGTGTGCCCAGTACACCAGAAACTTGTCTATGGTTTGCATGTGTCCTTGCTGTGGCTTCCCACAGTCTTGTGGTATAGTCTTATTGTATTATTTTGAAGGACAACAAAAACAAAGATTAAACGACTGTGAAAAATGTTTGGTAAGAATGGCCATTCATTTCTTTCCTGTGCACATTTTCATACAAGCACTTTCCATTCACTGTCACAGGCCAGAATGGTGCTGCAAGAACTCAGTCCGGATTCCCATGACTACTCAGACCAGACCCTGAAATTCTTTCCGAATCTTGTTGAGAAGCTCAGGGAAATGGAGAAGTTGCCTGCACTGTTCTTTTTGTAAGTTATGTAATATTGTCACATAATTTGTGTTAGCCTCCTTCCTTTAGGATATATCTATATCTATATCTATATATATCTATATCTATATCTATATCTATATCTATATATATATATATATATATATATATTACCACTATGGTCTAGTACTTATTACTTTGGGTGTTTGTTCATTTGTCAAAATCATAACATTACGAAGTTCCACATTTTTTGTTCTGGTTCTGTTTGTTTGAGACAAGACCTTGATAAGTTACCAAATGTAGCAATGAGAATTGACTATTGACTGTCATTTCTTAATCTTTACTTCACCAGTGTAGCTCCCTCCATCTCTGTGGATTCGTTCTTTCTAATTCACTCTTGTGACATTGACTGAGAATAGTTCTCAGGGCCTCATACACTAGAAAACAATTCTGCCACTGAGCAATACTCTCAGACATTCTTTTCTTTTGCTTTTCTGATAAGATCTCATGAAGCCACCCAGGTAGGTTTTGGAGCCATTCTGTATATTAGATTAGCCTTCAACTTACAGTCCCCCTGCCCCAGCCTTCTTGCTAACTGGGATTGTAAGCAGGCCTGTGGCAACAGCCTGTGGCAAAAGGCCCCGCTTCACAAATTTTAAAATACTGGGTTTGTGAAGTCTCACTTTTTGAAGAAAAACTTTTGTCTCACACATTAAGCTTTATCATTATTATGCAATGCCAACTTGTTATTTTCTGTACTATAATATAGTGATGTTACCCAGTGGGTACTTCAATCATGGCATATGCCTCCTAGATATAGTGGTGAAATGAAAATGAAATGTTTTTCCCCCAGCCTGCTTGCTATCAGAAAGTCTACAATTCAAACATTGGGAAATTCATGTGATACAAATGAAGTGTGTTTGCTTTTACTTTTTTCTGGAGAGAGAATTCAACCAGTACTGTTTGTTGCTCAGATATGAGAAGTCTAAATGGTTAAGACCCAGACTAGCTCCACAGGACAATGCCAGGGTGCCAAGACTGAACCTTTATAGTCCTGGGTATCTACATTTCTAAAGGTATAAAGGCCATGTCTAGGAGATCTACTGTATTGTAAAAGCTATGATCTCCAGGGTTTCCTACCTTCTAGAAAGAAGTGATCATGTGACAGTGAGAAATTATACCTCCTTCTACGTTACCAAAAACAACAATTGTTTTTGGTTGACTGAAAATCTTTGTCATCTTTGAGGGGTTATTTTGAATGTGGGGGTGATTTTCTCTTTTTTTTCTGTTTACATATCACTGCTTTGCTCTTGCCTGAGCGTAAGTGTTTTATGGAGAACTATGAGCTCATTCTGCAGTGTCACAGGAATATGGTATTGGTAAAACTTAACTTTCACTCTTCATTTGCTAAGTAGGAATATGTGGACCTACAGCATCCAGAATTCAGAGCTAAATGCATAAAGGCCAGCTGCAAAATTCCAGCGGGTATACAACACTCTCATGGTTTGCATGTGAAGTGCTTTTCATTGATGTGTTCCAAAACTGGTGCTGTTTGGAAGGTTATGAAAAATTATGAGATGCCCCCTTACCCATGTACTTGGTCTGGGATGTTATTTTTTATACTTCTCAGATCAGAGCTGCAAAGTAAACAACAGGATGCAGATTAAATTTGTCCAGATCTGTGAACCTTCCTGGTAACCTTAATTAATTTTCTATTACTGTGAAGAGACACCACAGTCAAGACAACTTGTAGAAGAAAGAATTTACTGGGGCTCACAGTTCTAGAGAGTTATAGTCCATGACCATTATAGCCTGTGGATGTGACAACAGGCAGGTAGGCATGGTGTTGGAGCAGTAGCTAAGAGAATATATCATTATCACAAGTAGGGTTCAGAGAGAGAAAACTAACTGGGAATGGCATGGACTTTTGATACCTCAAAGCCTGATTCCAGTTGCATACTTCCTCCAATGCTATACCTTCTAATCCTTCCCAAACAGGTATACTAACTACAGATTTTGTATTAAAATACATGAACCTATGGTGATCTGATAGGGAATGCCCTTCTGTATGCTGTGAATATCTGCTTCTCTTATTGGTTGATGAATAAATACTGATTGTTCAGTAGCCAGCCAGAAAGGATATGTGGACCTACCAAAGTAGGAGAATTCCAGAAAGAAGAATGCAGAGGGAGAATTGAGGGGGAGATGCCATGTTGCCAATGAAGGATTAGCCTGTGGGTACATTACATATAAGCCACAGCCTTGTGGCAATACATAGTTTAATAGAAATGGTTTAATAATTAAGAGAGAGAGATACCTAGTAAGAAGCTGAAGCCAGCAGCCAGTTTGAAATAAGCCTCAGTGTGCTTATTTGGGACTAAATGGCTGTGGGATCAGGTGGGACAGAAATTCTGTCTTCAGTGACCATTCTTAGTCAAACCACCATACTGAGCCACAGGGGTCAAGCATTGAAGTCCTATAGACAGCCCCACTTTCAGTTTGTGCTCTGCTTCCTGTCTATACCCTCAATGTGACTAGCCACTGTTAGGAGTTTGTTTTTTCCTGCCAGCCTGGACCCACAGTGGCACCAGCCCTAAATAACACACACAGACTCTGTCTTTGATATTATGCTGTTGGCCAGGTACTAGTTTCTTATCAGCTAGCTCTGTCTTGATTGTTAACCCATTTCTATTAATCTAAGTATTTCCACATGGTCTCATCTTACCGGTGTCTTTACAATTGACTCCTCCCTACTACTTCCTCATGTCCTCTTTGTCTCCTACTCCCGCCTATCTTGCTTTCCTATTGGCCAACAGTACTTTATTCATTAACTAGTATGAGAAACATATTTACAGAATGCCATCTCCCATCAAGCCATCTCTAGATTTGTTGCCAAGCTTACCCTTATCCCAGTAGACATAGCTGTGTCCTTTCAAACTATATAAGAGCTCATACCCTTCTATAATTGCTTATGTCAGCCATTTGCTCATATGCATGAGAAATATAACACGCCACCAGAAAGGATGGAGTGACTGAAGCTTATGATAATATGATATTTTAATACACATTATTTTGTTTCCAGATTTAGATTAGATTGTGTAGAAGCATGTGCAGAGGCTGCTTGCCAATTCCTGGAGGACAAACAAAAGGAAAAAAGGCATCCTAGTGCTGACAAAGAAGCTCATGTCATGGCTAATAAACTTCGAAAAGTTGAAAAATCTTTGGAGAAACCACAAGAGACAATGTAAGTATTTCACTATGCAAATTGTTCACATAAGGATTGTAGAACCCAAATGTCCTAGGAGTAAGCATGCATTGAACATTCTCTATAATGAAGTTTTAATTACTGCTTGGACTATTTTTGTTCTTATGCTTCAGAGGGACATTAGGTTGAAGACAAGTGGGCAACATCACATATTCCTTAGTTGTATGTCAGTTTATGGTTGTTTGAGGCAGGTCCAGATTGTATGTGTAATGCATAACTTGACATGATCATCCCCCATTGTACATACGACTCTCTTTTGACTCATGACACATTTATCACAGTGTGACCCACAGTTGAGATGATGAGGGTTATCTTGCTGTATGCTTTCTTATTGGTTGATGAATAAAGCTGTTTTGGTGAATGGACAGGAAGGATGTAGACAGGCAGGAAGTGAATAGGCAGGGCTACCAGACTAGGAGGAGGTTGGGAGGAGGAATACAGTGTGAGTTGCCTGATAGATGCATATGTCTGCCAAGGAAGAAAGTGGCTTGGGAATCACTGGTATGTGGAAATACATAGATTTATAGAAATGCATTAATCATTGAGAGAGTCGATAAGAAACCTGAGCCATTGGCCAAACTGATTTCCAAAGTGGCTGTATGAGTTTGCACTCACACCAGCAGTGGGAGTGTGTTCCCCTCTCTCCACATTCTCTCTATCAAAAACTGTCATTGGTGTTTTTGATTTTAGCCAATCAGACAGAAGAAACATGGTATCTCAAAGTTGTTTTGATTTGCATATCCATGATGGCTAAGGATGTTGAACACTTTCTTGAGTGTCTTTTGGCAACTTTAAATTTCTTAATTGATAATTCTCTATTTAGTAGTGTATCCCATTTTTAATTGTATTATTTGGTGTTTCGGTGACTAGCTTCTTGAGTTCTTTGTATATTTTGGAGATCAGCCCTCTGTCAGATGTGGGGTGGGTGAAGATCTTTTCCCATTCTGTGTGTTGCCATTTTGTCTTGTTGACTTACAGAAGCTTTTCAGTTTCTAGAGGTCCCATTTATTAATTGTTGATATTAGTGTATGTGATATTGGTGTTATGTTCAGGAAGCAGTCTCCTGTAGCATTTTTTCCAAGTGTACCTCCCACTTTTCCTTCTAAAAAGTTTAATATGGCTGGATTTATGTGGAGGTCTTTGATCCATTTGGACTTAAGTTTTGTGCATGGTGATAGATATGTATCTATCTATCTGCAGTCTTCTATATGTGAGCATCCAGTTATGCCAGCACCATTTGTTGAAGATGCTTTCTTTTTTCCATTGTATAACTTTAGCTTCTTTGACAAAAATCATGTGTTTAGAGATGTGTGGGTTAATATCAGCATTTTCAATTTGAATCCAGTGGTCTACCTGTCTATTTTTATGTCAATACCAAGCTGTTTGCAGGACTATAGCTCTATAATAGAGCTTGAAGTCAGAAACCTCTGAAAGTTCCTTTACTGTCTATGTTGGGGCTCCCCTCCATATAAAGTTGAGTATTGTCCTTTCAAGGTCTGTGAAGAATTATGCCAGTATTTTGATGGGGTTTACATTGAATTTGTGGATTGTTTTTTGACAAAATTGCCATTTTTACTATGTTGGTCATATCTATCTAAGAGCATGGGAGATCTTTCCATTTTCTCATATCTAATTTCTTTCTTTAAAGACTCAAAATTCTTGCTATACAGGTCTTTTACTTGTTTAGTTAGCATTACCTCCAAGGTATTTTATGTTGCTTGTGGCTATTGTAAAGGGTGATGTTTCTCTGATTTCTTTCTCAGCCCCTTTTTCATCTGTATATGGTGATTTTTTTTGAGTTAATATTGCATCCTGCCACTTTGTTGAAGGTGTTTATCAGCTGTAGGAGTTCCCTGGTAGAGATTTTTTTGGCTCACTTATGTAAACTATCATATCATCTTCAAATAGTTAAAGTTTGACTTCTTCCTTTCCAATTTGTATCCCTTTGATCTCCTTTTATTGTCTTACTGCTCTAATTAGAACTTGTAGTACAATATTTAAGAGATATGGAGAGAGTGGGTAGCCTTGTCTTCTTTCTGATTTTAGAGTAATCACGTTGAGTTTCCATTTAGTTTGACGCTGGCTGTTGGTTTATTGTATATTGCTTTTATTATGTTTAGGTATGTCCTTGTTATGCCTTATCTCTTCAAAACCTTTGTCATGAGGGGGGTATTGGATTTTGACACAGGCTTTATCAGCATCTAGTAAGATGATCATGTGGTTTATCTTCTTCAGTCTGTTTATATGGTGGATCACATTGATAGATTTTTGTATGTTGAACCATTCCTGCATCCCTGGGGTGAGGCCTACTTGGTCATGGTGGATGATTTCTCTGATGTGTTCTTGCATTCAATTTGCCAGTATTTCACTGAGTATTTTTGCATCAGTGTTCATGGGCGCTATTTGTCTGTAGGGTGGAGAGGCAAGGCAATAATGACTGCTAATGGTAGATGCTTTTCTCTGCCTCCATGTCCCTCTGGGGAATTTGGTAGGTGAAGAAAAAAAAATCCTATCTCATATGTAATATGAGTGTTAGTCTTTAGTGGCATATTACAACATTCTGTAACATGATGCCTGGGTAAAGTAAGTGGAATGTGTTTAGAGGTTTAGAGCATGGAAATGTTGATATGTGCTTAAGGGTATACATTTTAAAAGCAGGTCTCAGCATAAATCCACTTATATCCCCTTTAGCTGTGTCATTGATTGTCAACCACTTAATGACTACAATCATACAGAATTTTGGTGAGACTAAAATGAAAGATGTAAATGTGTAGTCCAGTGGTATAAAATATTACTCACTGATGTACACTTGCTAGGACATTTTCATTGTATGTGATTCTGTATTAGAAAGACTTATGAGTCACATTTATTTTCAAGTGATATAGTTTTTAGAAAAGAGATACTATAATGGCAATGATTGGAACTTATATAACATAAAATTACCACAATGATATAGTCAGAAACATGGATTAGATGACAGACTCTATTACATACAAGCTGTGTGTATTTATGAGTAGTATTCTTAATCTCTATCTCCATTTTTCTCATCTGTGGTATGGGAATGGAGGAGTTGAAATAATATTGCTGTAATTGTTGTATCCAATGAGTTATTACACTCTAGCCTCTTGAATTGCACCTGAGAACAATAACTATATCATGTATATTCATATTATTATGTTGTTACCTGATGAAAAATGACTGCCATTTCTTAATCCTTACTTCAAAAGCTCCGTACATCCCTGAGGATTTTTTTTATTTCAAATTACTTTTGTGACAATGACTGGAAATAGATCACAGGGCCTCACACATTAGAAAATCATTTTGCCACTGAACAATGCCCTCATACATTCTTTCCTTTTGCTTTTCTGATAAGATCTCAAGTTACCCAGGCTAATTTTGAATCCATTATATATATTAGGCTAACCTTCAACTTAAGAGTCTCCTGTTTCAGCTGTCTCATCCTTCCTACTAGCTAGAATTGTGGACAGGCCCGTGGCAATGGGTCTGGTTTGACAATTTTTAAAATACTGAGTTTGTAAAGTTTTACTTTTTTATCTTTTGTCTTATACTTTAAGCATAAACTTTATTATATAGTTCCAACTTGTTATTTGCTATAATATAATATAGCGATGATGCCCAGTAGCTACCTTTAAACACAGCATTTTTCTCCTATCCGTAGTGGTAAAATGAAATGATTCCCCCCAGCCTGTTTGTCATCAGAAAGTCTAAATTCCAAACATTGTGAAATTGTGGTGTAAATGAGGTGTGTTTGCCTTTACTTTTTCTTGAGAGAGAATTCAACCATCAATGTTTGTTGCACAGATCTGAGAAGTCTAAATGGTTAAGATCCTGACTAGGTCTACAAGGTAAGTGCTAGGGCCAAGTCTGAACCTTTATAGTCCTAGGCATCTACATTTTCAAAGGTATAAAGGCCATGTCTAGGAGACCTACTGGGTTGTAGAAGCTATGATCTCCAGGGTTTCCTACTGTCTAGAAATAAGTGATCATGTGACAGTAAGAAATTATGTCTCTTTTCAATTTGCCAAAGAACAATTTTTTTTAAGTTGACTAAAACTCTTTCTCAGCTTTCATGAGGGTGTGTGATCTCTCTCTCTCTCTCTCTCTCTCTCTCTCTCTCTCTCTCTCTCTCTCTCTCTCTCTCTTTCTCTCTCTCTTTCTCTCTCTCCTTTTTACAAATCACTGCTTTGCTCTTGCCTTGGCTTGTGTGTCCTATGAAGAGTTTCTAGGAGCTAATTCTGCAGTGTCACAGGAATATGGTATTGGGAAAAACTTAACTTTCACTTCACATTTGCTAATTAGGAATATGTGAACCTAGAGGACCAAGAATTCAGAGTAAAAATTCATAAATTTTCCAGCAGGCATATGTCACTGTTATGGATTGCATGTGAAGTGCTCTCCATCAGTGTGTGTTTGTACAGTTGGTGTCTTGCTGCTGGTGCAGTTTTGGGTAATTTTGGAAGTTAGGTCCTTATCCATGGACCTGGCCTAGGATATCATCATTTATACATCTCAGATCAGAGCTACAAATTAATCAACAGAATGCAGATTAAATTTGTTCAGATCTGTAAGATTTCCTGGGTACTTTAATTACTTTTCTATTGCTGTGGTCAAGACAACTTGTAGAAGAAAGAATTTACTGGGACTAACAGTTCTAGAGAGTTATAGTCCATGACCATTATGGCCTGTGGATGTGACAACAGGCAGGTAGGCATGGTATTGGAGAAGTAGCTGAGAGAATGTGTCATTATCACAAAGTAGAATTCAGAGAGAAAAATCTAACTGGCAATGGCATGGACTTTTGATACCTCAAAGCCTGATTCCAGTTGTATACCTCCTCTAATCCTTCCCAAACAGCTATACAAACTATAGACTTTATATTATAATACATGAGCTTGTGTGAACCATACTCAGTCAAACCACCATATTGGACCATGGGGATCAAGCCTTCAAGTCTTAGAGAGAGCCCTTCTTTTATTTGTGCTTCTTTCCGCTATTTGCTCATAGTCATGAGAAATGTAACACCCAATCTTAAAAGATGGAAAGACTGAATCTTATATTATTGTATTTTAAGTACACATTTCTTTGATTCCAGATATAGATTAAGTTCTGTGGAAGGAGGTGCTGAGGCTGCTTGCCAATTCCTGCAGGTCCAACAGGAGGAGAAAAGGTCTGCTAATGCTGATAAAGAAGCTCAAATCATAGCTAACAAACTTCGAAAAGTTAAAAAATCATTAGAGAAACCACAAAAGACAAAGTAAGTGTTTTTCTAAGCAAATTGTCTTCATAAGGGTTTGTAGAAACCAAATATCCTAGTAGGAAGCATGCATTGAAAATGCTCTCTAATGAAGGAATAATTACTGCTTGTTTTTTGTTTTTAAGCTCCAGAGGGTTATAGTTGAAGACAGGTAAACAGCATTACATATTCCTTTAGTTGTATAGAACAGTTTAATTTATGGTTGTTTAAGGCAGGTCCAGATTGTATGTGTATTACAGAACTTGACATGATCATCCCCCTCCTTCCCTCCATCCCTCCATCCCTCCATCCCTCTCTCCCATGCCCCTGAACCATCTTCCAACCCCCCACTCCACATGGAGGGTGATGCCATGCAGGAGGGGTCAACATAATCTGTCAAGTCATTTGGAGTAGGGACTATGTCTTCCTTCCTGCCTCTAAGTTAAGGGAGAATCCCTCCATAGGGAATGTGCTCCCAAAGTCCTTTGTGCACCAGGGATACATCCTGGTTCCACTGTCAGAGGTATCTTAGACTGCTCAGGCCTTCTAAGTGAGACCCATGTTCAGGGGATCTGAGTCAGTCCAATGCTGGTTTCCCAGCTATCAGTCTGGGTGTCCGTTAGCTCCAGCTTGCTCAGGCCAGCTGTCTCTGTGGGTTTCTGTAGCCTGGTCTTGTCCTCTCTTTCTGCATCTGGATTTCAGTTTGGCTCAGTGTTTAACTGTGGGTGTCTGCTTCTATTTCCATCAGCTACTAGATGAGGATTCTGTGATGGTGGATAAGTTAGTCATCAATCTCATTATCAGGGAAGTGCATTTAAGGTAGCCTTTCCACTGTTGCTCAAATTATTAGTTGGGGTAAGTCTTGTAGGTCTCTGGACATTTCTCTAGAGTCAGTTTTCTCTTCAAACCTATAATGGCTCTTTTTATTGTATCCTCTCTCTTTTTTTCTCTCTTCTATTCCTCCCCTGACTGAATCTTCCTAGTCCCACATGTTTTCCTCTCCTCTCCTTCTCTTTCTCCTAGCCCCCTCTGCACTCACTACCACCCCCAACATGCTCAGGAGATCTTGTTCTTTCCACTTCTGTGACAGACCTTGTATGAATCTCTTAGAATCCTCCTTATATCCTAGTTTCTCTGGCGGTATGAATTATAGGCTGGTGATCCTTTGTTCTATGTCTAAAATTCATGCATGAGTGAGTACATACCATGTTTCTCTTTTTGTGACTGGGTTACTTCACTCAGGATGGTTTCTTCAAGTTCCATCCATTTACCTTTGAATTTCAAGATTCCATTGTTTTTTTTTTCCCACTGACTAGTATTCCATTGTGTAAATGTACCACATCTTCTTTATCCATTCTTCAGTTAGGGGGCATCTAGGTTGCTTCCAGGTTCTTGCTGTTACAAATAATGCAGCTACAAACATAGTTGAACAGATGTCTTTGTTGCATTGGTGTGGATCATTTGGGTATATGCCTAAGAGTGGGATTGCCGGGTCCTATGGTAGACTGATTCCCATTTTCCTGAGGAAGCAATACATTGATCTCCAAAATGGTTGTACATGTTTGCACTCCCACCAGCAGTGGAGGGGTGTTCTCTTTTTCCCTTTCTCCATATCCTCTCCAGCATAAGTTGTCATTGGTGTTTCAAATTTTAGCCATTCTGGCAAAAGTAAGATGGTATCTCAGAGTTGCCTTGATTTGCATTTCCCTGATGGCTGAGGATGTTGAACACTTTCTTAAATGTCTTTCAGCCTTTTTGATTTCCTCTATTGAGAAGTCTCTATTCAGTTATGTACCCATTTTTTAATAGGGTTATTTGGTGCTTTTGTGACTAGTTTCTTGAATTCTTTGTATATTTTGGACATCAGTCCTCTGTCAGATGTAGGATTGGTGAAGATATTTCCCCATTCTGTGGGCTGCTCTCTGATCTTGTAAACCATGTCCTTTGTCTTACAGAAGCTTCTCAGTTTGAGGAGGTCCCATTTATTTTCGATCTCAGTTCCTCTGCTACAGGAGTTATGTTCAGGAAGTGGTGTCCTATAACAATTTGTTCTAGGGTACCTCCCACTTTCTCTTCTAAGAGGTTCAGTGTGGGTGGATTTATGTTGTGGTCTTTGATCAATTTGGGTTTGAGTTTTGTGCATGGCAACAGACATGGGTCTATTTTTTAGTCTTCTAGACACCGCAATCTTGTTGTGCCAGCACCATTTGTTGAAGATGCTTTCCTCCTTCCATTGTATACTTGTACTATGTTTATCCTACCTATCCAAGAGCATGGGAGATCTTTCCATTTTCTGGTATCTGATATATTAGGGATACTGATTATTTGGAGTTTATCTTGTATCCTGATAGTTTGTTGAAGGTGTTTATCAGCTTTAGGAGTTCCCTGGTAGTTTTTTTTTTTTTGTTTTTTGTTTTTGTTTTTGTTTTTTTGTTGTTGCTCATGTAAACTACCATATCATCTGCAAATAGTGACAGTTTGACTTCTTCCTTTTCAATTTGTATCCCCCTGATCTCCTTTTGTTGTTTTATTGCTAAGAACTTCAAGTACAATATTGAAGAGATATGGAGAGAGTGGGCAGTCTTGTCTTGTTCCTCATTTTAGAGGAATCTCCTTAAACTTCTTTCCATTCAGTTTTATGTTGGCAGTTGGTTTACTGTATATTGCTTTTAGTATGTTTAGGTATGTTCTTGTTATCCCTGATCTGTAAAAGACCTTTATCATGAAAGGGTACTGAATTTTGTCAAAGGCTTTTCAGCATCTAGTGAGGTGAACATGCGGTTTTTCTTTTTCAGTTTGTTTATATGGTGGCTCACATTGATAGATTTTTTTTTTGTGTGTTGAACCACCCCTGTGACCTAGTGATGAAGCCTACTTGGTCATGGTGAATGATTTCTCTGATGTGTTCTTGGATTCGATTTGCCTGTATTTTATTGAGTATTTTTGCATCAATGTTTATGAGATATATTGGTCTGTAGTTTTCTTTCTTAGTTGTGTTTTTGTGTGACTTGTGTACCAAGGTAATTGGGTCCTTGTAAAAAAGAATTTGGTAATGAACCTTCTGCTTCTATTGTGTAGAACAATTTGAGGAGTGTTGGTATTTGCTCTTCTTTGAATTTCTGGTAGTATTCTGCACTGAAGCCATATGGCCCTGGGCTTTTTTTGGTTGGGAGGCTTTTTATGACTGCTTCTATTTCATTAGGGATTATAGGTTTATTTAAGTTGCTAATCTGTTCTTGATTTAATTTTGGTAAGTGATATCTATCCAGAAATTTGTTCCTTTCCTTTGCATTTTCAAATTGTGGAGTACAGGTTTTCTAAAGTATGACCTGAAAGTTGTCTGGATTTCCTCAGTGTCCATTGTTATGTACACCTTTTGGTTTCTAATTTTGTTAATTTGTATGTTCTCTCTCTCTCTCTCTCTCTCTCTCTCTCTCTCTCTCTCTCTCTCTCTTTTTCTCTCTCTGCTTTTTGGTTAGTTTGGATAAAGGTTTGTCTATCTTGTTGATTTTCTCATAAAAACAACTGTTTGTTACATTGAGTTTTTGTATTCATTTTCTGGTTTCTATTTTATTGATTTCAGTCCTCAAATTGATTATTTCCTGGTGTCTACTCCTCCAGAGGGTTTTCATCTTTTTCGTTCTAAGGCTTTTAGTTGTGGTGTTAATTCTCTAATTTAACTTTTTTTTTCTGCTTTCCTCAGTTTCTTTAAGATATTTGTTCATATCTTCCTATTTCCTATTTTTTTTGTTTGTTTTTTTCCCATTTCTCCTATCATCTTTGATGGCCTCTATCATTTTTTTGAAGTTTTTTTTATGCTATTCTCTTCTGCTTAATCTGCTTTGTTGCTTTCAGGTCTAGTTGGTGGAGAGTGCCTAGATTCTGGTGGTGTCATGCCTGTCTTTCTCTTGTTAGGTGTTTTCTTGTATTGATGTCTTCCCATTGCTTCTTCCAGTGGGTGCAGGTGGAGTCTCTCTCTCTAGCCTACTCTTCTGGTGGGCATAGGTGGGTCAGACGATCAATGTCTTCTACTTTGGTTGGCCCAAGCTCTCTAGGAGGCCTCTCCTCAAGCAGGGGCCAGGTGATGAGGGTCAAAGATCAGGCAGGCGGGTACTCAGGTTGGTCCCTGGTGGATAGGCATGTTCAGTGTGCTCACAGCAGATGCAGGAATGGTTGTGTCCTAGTGAGATTTCCCACATCAATGTTTGTTATTAACTAGTGTCATTGTTCAGGTCTTGTTTGGCCATGTAGTGTAACGAGTACGGTTTTTCCACCTGTCGCCACCTGGTCTTGTCCTGTCGCTGCGCCAGCCCCAATTAACACACAGAGACTCTGTATTTGATACAATGCTGTTGGCCCTGTTACTTGTTTCTCATAGGCTAGCTCTGTCTTAATTATTAACCCATTTTTGCTGATCTATGTATTTCTCTTACCGGGGAGCCGGCGGCATACTGTTTTCTTTAGACTCTCCATCTTGACTCCTCCTTACTACTTCCTATTTCCTCCTTGTCTCCTAGTCCCTCCTATCTTCCTTCCATATTGGCCAACAGTGCTTTATTATTATCCAGTATGAGAAACATATATACATAATGGCATCTCCCATCATCTCCTCTTTTCTGTTTAAATAAAAAGAAGGGTTTTAACCTTAACATAGAAAAATATACAACACATCAGTTATCAAATAAGAATCACAGTTAACAATTAGTCCATTAACATTTAGCAAGATTAAAAGAAACTATTCTATCATCTATCCTATATTTGTGAGTCCAAAGTCCTATATGTAACTTATCTGTAAGCCTAACTAAGGAAAACTATAACCATAAATATCTGTCTTCAACTCCTTCAAAGACCACAGAAGGATAATATATAAGCTCTAGAAATGACAGAGACAACTCACTGCCTGGTCACCCGAAGTTCTTTTGTAATCTTCTATCTTCAGCCCATAGGCCATAGTGTGTCTGGCAGACTCTTCAGCAAATCAGGAAACTTTAAACTGTCTTCTTTTATTGGCAGCTTGTCAGTCATTTTTCTCTGTGTCCTATAGATTGTCTGGCAGACTCTTCCATGAAGCAGGACTGTTGTAGCAATGTCCATCTTGAATCAGCAGTCACTTTTCTGTGGGTCCTGCATGTCCAGTTTATACAGCATAAAGTCAAACAGTCCAGACAAGAGCAGTATCTTGTCCAAATGGCTAGTCTTGCCACATTGGAGGCAAACTCCCATCAATGTAGTTAAGATTTTGTGGATGAAGTTTCTCTGTCATCAATAGAAGACATTTTATGGTAGCAGATGTACTGGTCATCTGGTACTTACAATCTTAATTTCTTCAGTGTTCCCTGAGCCTTAGGTGTAGGGATTATATTGCAGATGTATAGAGTGGGGGATAGGCACCGTGTTGTCAGTTATTCTCTTCATTTTGACCAACAAAAGATTTCTATGATGGATTCTCTCTATTACAAAAAGAAACTGCTTTAATAAGGGTGAATGCTACACTTATCTGTGTATATATGAATAAGAATTTAGAATGCTATTTGTAGTTATACTGGTTTATGGATGTAGTAGCAGTAAGGTCCTCTTCTTAGCACATTATTTCATCAGTAATGCATAGGCATGAATATTCTATGATTGATTGTCCTTACTTCCAATTAGTCATTTACAGTTACCCTGAAGATGTATGTGCCACTATTTTACCTCTGGGGATATATTGCCATGCTACTGCTGCAGTTCATCGGCTTTTTAGCTACCTATGTCTATGCATTGTTTTGTTCCCTTGGCTAATTCTTAGGATGGTCTAGAACGTTTTTAAGTGAAGGACTATGACTTTTAGAGCAGTGCTGATTCAAGCATTCCAAATTCTAGAACAAGCTAACATTTACTCGATTCTTTCATGTACAATGCTATCTGTGCATGTTTTGTTCTTTCCTTGGCAGTATAAAATGAGGCAGTGAACTCCAAGGGGAACATAGGGTTTCTTGGGAAATTATCTCCCTTAAAATACCTCTGCTTCAAGGTTTCAGGAGCTACATATTCAAGATGGGTTAGTGACCAACAAGTCGAGCTGTTAAAATGAAAGTTTTTTTTTTTTTTTTTTTTTTTTTTTTTTAAGTACCTTCAGCACTCTCAGTTTGTAGAGGATGGGGAGCTTGCTTCTTACACTATGCATTGAAGGGCAAAACTCTGGCCCTTCTCTCTCTGTATCCATTTCTACAATGCAGCAACCACTAAAGAAACATGCACACCAAGAGCTCTCACTCTTACAGGGTCATGTTTGTTGAGCTGGAAGTTCATATTGTATTCAGCAGTTTTTATTTATTAATAGTGTTTTATTTAGTAGTTTAATAATCAAGTAACATAGCAATCTGTTTTCCTCTGTAAATGCATTGGTATATATATTTTTTTAAATTAGGGCTGGGCATTAGCATGACACTTCCCTCCTCATTAAGGTTAATGCTACTTGGAGGTGTTGTTTTCTGGATGTGTGATGTATACCATGGCATAGTAGAATGCAAGTGACCTCATCATATTATGTTCAGAAATATCTCCTTCGCATAGTAGAGTGAAAAAAATGTATAAATGACCCAAGTGATTGTTAAAGGGGGTCCTGGAGAACACAGAGTGAACACCTAAGGGTCTTTGCCATGTTTATGTAGCACATGATGAGAAGGGATATCCATGTGTGTACATTCCTTAGTGAAGGGGTGGGCAAGGAAATAATTAGTGAAGGAAATAATAAGAAAAAATAGGAGGAAAGCAAAGTTAAGAGGATATGGTTTCTGCTAGAATATAGCCTGGACATGGCACCTGCTTACTGTGTCCACAGCAAGTAGGAAGGAGAGTATCCTGAATTCGCAAGTAGAAAGAAAACACATACCTCTAACCAGAGTGTGTGAAAAGCATAAGGAGACTTACAGAGCATTATATTAGCAAGATGAAGCAAAGTCACCAGCGGAAAGAGAAACAATGGTGAACACTACAGAAAAAAAGTCAAATTCGCAATGGGTTTATCTTGAGGGATCCTAGATTCCAGCAGCTGGAGTATAAACACATTAGGGATAGGGAACTGTGCAATGAGAATATAAATGCATAAGCAGTGATTCGGGTTGATAACTATGACTTATAAGATACTTTGGGCTTCCTGTAGAGATTGGATGTAAATACTGATTTTTTGAAACTTTATTCTTTAAAGAGATGAAAAATGTCAGAAGACTTCCAGAAGATTGGATCAAATCATCATGCGTGAAGCTGAACACAATTACCTCCTGAAGAGTCTGGAGAAGAATCTAGCGATTCCTGAGGACTGCACATATGCTGATCAGAAAGCAATAGATGATGAGGTCAGTACCTAGGAGGGACCTGCATTCTCTTTCATGCAGATGGTGTTATCCATATTGCTTATAATTGCTACCATAAGGGAAGTCACTATGAGCTAGAGATGTAGGAGGCAGTAACTTTTCATGCATACAACTTTCAAGGACATTGCAATCCATACTTAGGATAGGTTTAAAATTTGTAGACCAAATTTTTCTTGCTGACAAATAATCCAAATGGCTGTTCTTGTATATTATTCTCACTGAATATTTTGCTTGAGAATTAGATAAGCAATATTCTAAATCTCTTGTCTTTTAGTCATTGCAGATGGTGTTTGACCGAGTGAAATTCCAAAGAAAAGGCAACACACTGAAGAAATTGGCAAGAAGAGGCATTGGCTATCATCACAGTTCCATGAGTGCCAAAGAAAAGCAGTTAGTTGAAATTCTTTTTAGGAAAGGATTCATTAGGGTAGGTCAATTTTTCATTGTAAAATTTGGAAATGTGAGTATATGAAGCAGAATGTTCATGAAATGAGGAAATACAGCTATTCCTTTACTTTTATTCTCTCATGTAGCTGTGCCTCTTGGGATGTAGACTTTGTTTACTGACTATGGCATCTTTGCATACGTTCCATGTCATTTAATTGGAGAAGAAGATTTGACTGCTATAAAAAGGAATTCTTAATAGGTTTAGGATGGAGTCAGATGTAGTGGGAAATGCTGAGAGATCAGAGAGAAGCAGAAAGCCACAGCATACCTTACCTCCTAAGTGTCTCAGCAGAGAAGAGAGCGATTTCCTGTTTTACATGCTTATATCCTGTCTTTGCCCAGCTATGTCACTTCCTACCTGTCTGTACAGATATCCAGGCCTCTATGGTTAACTAGATGTAGTTAAAATAGTGTCTGATAGTAATTTCTTAGTCACTAATAAAGTGATGAATAACTAGACTGATCCAGACCAGCTATTAGGGAAATAGTAATAGCTTCATCAAAAAATATACTTTAGGAAGGTAATTAATCTATTCATTTTCTTTCAATGTTTGTGCATGTTAAGGCAATTTGAATAAAAAGCACTTAATAAGTAGCAAGTTTCATTTTGACAGAGACATAAGCCTCCGACACAAAACAATTAGAAAGCATTACTTCACATCCTTAAACAGCATCACAAAACAGAACACAAACAGCCATCAATCTAAATTTTTTCAGCATCCAGGTCACAAAAAATAACACAGAAGATTTGTTATTAATTATGAAAACTTGGCCTAGAGATTAGGCTTGTCACAACTAGCCCTTATAACTTGAATTAACCCATTTATATTAATATGCATTTGGCCAGATGGCATGACCTCTCTTCCATCTTGTACATCCTATTTCTTATCCATGTCTAGTTGGCAACTCCTTCTTTGTTTTTTCCCAGAGTCCTCTCTGTTATCCAAAAGTCCCACCTAGCTTCTTCCTGTCTAGCCATGGGCCATTCAGCTAGTTATTAAATCAAGCAGGAGGTGCCTTGTTAAAAACAGATCATCACAGTGTACAAAAAGGTGATTCTACAACAACACAGGATAAGTCCAACATGTACTAACTACAGAAAGAAAAATGAACAAGAAGTTAGATTATGTGAATAAACTTTACATACTTTTCTGTGTCTGATTAGTGATCATGCATATTCATGACAGAAAAAGAAAATGTACTTTATTCTTTTATCACTTTCCAATGACCTTTAGTAGATCAAATACTTACTAAGAAGTGGGCTTGTAAAATATTTATTGCCCTCTCACAAAAAAATTCCTTTCCTAATATTTTACCTGCTATATTTACTGTAACACTTACTGTATGCCAGATGCTCTATTTGGCTCTGGAAATATGCAAGAGTGAATTATGCTTGGGCTTCAGTATTTGAAGAGTAAGCAAAATCACTATGACATTGAGGGACATTGAGGAATTAATGCTAAAAGCAGAGAGGTAGATGGTGATGAAATAAGATAATTATTTTAGATGTGGCCCCAAAGTTCCTCTGTGACATTTGTACCACACAATTAAGATTAAAGAATATAGTCCTTGCAAAGCAACCAGTACTATAACAGAATCCATTATAGAATGTGTGTCTGTGTTTGCTAAACAAAAAGAAACATTATGTGTCTTATCCCCTTAGTTTTCCCACTGTAATTTTATTGAGATTTCAATACAGGTTTTAGCAAGTACATGGAAATACTTGTATTCTACCAAAATTACAATGTGTTGGATCACTGTTTTGTTCTTTTTTTAGGTGGTGACAGCTACTGGAACACTTGCTTTAGGAATCAACATGCCTTGTAAATCTGGTTTTTGCTCAAAACTCAGTCTATTTGGATGCTTTAAATTTTAGACAGGTATGACAACATAAATTAACTTTATTAATATTATATGACCATAAAATAGTAAAACATATTTAATTTATTTGATAATATTTTTGTTTAAATTTGCAACAAGCTTGTTTTACATGTCAGTCACAGTTCCCTCTCCCTCCTCTCCTTCCCCCTCTGAATGCCCATGTCATCCCATTTCTGCTCCCCAGGGAGAATGAGGCCTTCCATGGGGGATCTTCAAAGTCTATCATATCATTTGGAGCAGGGCCTAGGCCCTCCCCCCATGTGTATAGAAAAATATTTTAACTACTAATTTACTAACATGTCCGAGTTTATGACAGAGCACTCTAGGTGACTGTCTGGTATTGATTAAGCAATAGGACTATGAGATTTTATGACTTCTGCTTATTATGTATATGATCTTGGATAAGACATCAATATCCTCTCCTATTTGCAGAATCTAGGTGACCAGGTGACCATAACTACCTCATGAAATATACACAAACTAAAGAAAATGATTTGCAAAAAGATTCATATTACAATATAGTGTAATAATATATGATATATCATATGTAATATTATATATTGTAGACAGAATATTTTATCAAGTAAGTAACTGCCAGGAAGTGGCAATTATATGTTACATAGCAATGCTATATTCATTTTATTAGTTATATGATTTTATAAATAGGTATAATTCTGTATAGCATTATGCAAATACTTAGTATGATTAATGATACATGGGAATGACAGATATATTATTATAAATAGGTCTGCTTCAAATATGAGCTTTTTAAATTTTAAGTAGAAGGCTATTCATTTTAGTTAACCCCAAGGCACAGCATACCTGCTCAAAAGCAATGAAAAAGGCTTATCTCTTTACATTCTCTCATGAAACACACTCAGGCTATCTCACAGCATGATTCTCCTCTGTTTCCAGATGTCTGGTCGGGCTGGAAGACGGGGACAAGACCTGATGGGTGATGTCTACTTCTTTAATATTCCACTGCCCAAAGTAGGGAAACTCATAAAATCCAAAGTTCCTGAGCTGAGAGGACAGTTTCCTCTTGGTATCTCACTCATTCTAAGACTCCTGCTGCTAGCCTCCAAGGCAGATGACAAGGAGGATGGCAAGGCCAAGGTACTGTGTTCCCCTGCTGGGGCCTCTGCCTTCACTACAGGCCTGGCTGGCATCAGCTCCTCTGTGCTTATATCAGGCTTTTAATGCTTCTCAATATTCTCTAGAGAGGGGTGGAGGAAGCTTGGGAAAAGAATGATAAAACTTTTGTTTCTTTTCATTATCAGACAGAATTTATAACTAGGTACGCACTAAGGTGTTCCCATGATCACTGTCTTCTGGTATGATATACAGCATTTTCTTTTACTAAAATGTGCCACCTATCTATCTTCTTCTACCATTCAGAAAAAAAAGACATTTTTTTAATCACTGTAAAGTAACAGTTTATTTTTCATTGAAATGCTTAAAAAATTAAGATAATTGAAAATCAAACAAAACAAAACAAAAAAGGACTCATGCCTAGTTTTTCTTTTTTTTCTGACCGTACAGTAATATGAGTTGTTTCTTTTTGTTCATCTCAAATTATTTCCCCCAAGATCTACTTTCTGAAAAGTAATTCCATCAGCTATGTATCTACTTGTTTTTCAAGACAGGATTTCTCCATATAATAGTCCTTGCTGTCCTGTAACTCATTTTGTAGACCAGAATACCCTTGAACTCACAGAGATCCACCTGCCTCTGGCTCCTGAGTACTGGGATTAAAGGTGTATGCCACTACTACCAGGCTTGCAATGTAATTTAGAGGTGACTATTCAGTTACTCTGTGATGATACGATTCCATCTTGCTAACAGATTGATTTTATAGTGAGGAGGTTACATATGTTCTCCACATTGGCTACATAATATGTACAGGTCAGTGGTCTTAAGCACATCTGCCATTGCTTCTTCAAGTATTTTTTTTAACTAAGAACTCTTAAGTTATCATTTTGCTGATTGCTTTTATAATTGTTTCTTCTTCAATAACAGTCATTTTTTAATATGACAAATCCCATTTCCTTATTTTGTAAATTACTTTTTTTGATTATGAAAGAACATAACATTTGGCTTGTGCATTGCTGATTGGGGAAGCCCTACTGTATATATGTTTCTCTCTTTGGTTAATGAATAAAACACTGTTTGGCTCGTGGCCAGGCAGGACGAATAGGCAGAGCTACCAGAGGAGGAAAATTCTGGGAAGTATAGGCAGAGAGCAGACACCATGTGAGACCAGTAAGGTAGGATGCACTGGACCCTTCTCTGGTAAGATAAGACCATGTGGAAATACTTAGATTAATAGAAATGGGCAAATAATTAAGAAAGAGCTAGCCAATAAGAAAGCCTAGTCATCATGAGTGTTCATTTGTGGTAAGGAGATTGCAAGGTTGCAGAACCAGGTGGGAAATCCTGTAACACATAACTGATTCAGAGCTTCAGAATGTTGTTCATGTTTATTTCATTATTGTTGGAGACAGGGATTCATGTAGTCCATTCTGATTTTGAATTGACTACAGAGTGGAGGATGGCATTGAACTCCTTCATCTGAGTGCTGGAATCACAAAACATGTGCCATTGTGTCTGTGTCAGGATCAACTCTGTTCTTTAGTAACACTATGGTAGATTTGAAGTATACTTCTGAGAACATCTGGGGAGCCCTTGCTAGAGAAAATTAGCCTGCAGGACAGTAATGTCCTCAAGTGAAGGTGGCATTGCCAAGTAAGATTAGGTCCTTGATAGAACGATAGAACAAGAATGGAAAACTTTTAGTGCAGCCTTTCTGTGAGGGGAGCAGCTTCAGAGTAATAGAGCCAGGGAAGTTATGGATTGAAGCTACTTTTAAAATCATATGCCAAAAATAAATTGTCCTCATGTAAGCTTCTCTTCTTGGGTCTTTTGTCATAGTAGTGGAAATATTAATACGCCATGATAATATACTTTTAATCATTAGGTCTGTATCTCCAGGACACAATGGACCACCTTTTTTCCCTCTCCTCTATATCCCCTTGCTAATTTGCTGCTTTCCAAATCCTGCCTCCTCTGATTCCAGCATACAAGGGAATAGGGGTAGTAGCAAAGGCACATTTTGGTTTCTTTTGTAACTCAACATAAAGGAGATGGAACATTCACCCCTTTTATTTTTCCTTCAGTCCCACTGTTAAGTATATTGGACTTAAATACAGTAATAGCTGGAGAGATGGCTCAGGTGTTAAGAGCATGTAAGGTTTTTGCAGAGAACCTGAGTTCAGTTCCCAGTATCCATATTGGGTGTCTCACCACGTATGACTCCAGGAGGTCTGATGCTCTCTTCTGGATTCCATGAGTACTTGCCCCTCCCTGCCCCCACCATAATGTATACTATAATGAGAGACAAAATAATTCTTTCTGATTTTGTTATTTTATAAAGGACAGTGGAGATTTTTTTCTTCTGCATTGTATAAACTCACTAACTTAATCCAGAGAGATTGATATTTAGTGGTGCTAGAAAATTTGCTTTTGAGTTCACAGATATTTTAGAGACAAATTGAGTACTACATATACAACAGTACTGTTTGACACTGGAGATGAAGGAGGATATTCAGTCCTTTGGTTTCAGCCAACCCACTTCTAATCTTTTTTTGCAATAATATCATAGATACAGAATAGTATATGTATCACAAGTTCTGAAGTTGATAATGTCATTTTATGCTCAGACTGTTTGGAGACTATTTTGTTCCTTCTAGTTTGGTTTTCTGTGCTTATCTTAGTCACTTTTCTGTTAATGTGATAAGACTATGACCAAGGGAACTTATTCAAAGAAGGGTCTGCTGGAGACTTTTGAGCCCACAACCATCATCACAGGAGCAGCGCAGTTGGAAAGCAATCAAGACAGTGGAGTAGTGGCTGAGGCTTCACATCTTGAGATGGTACAACTAAGCAGGGATGGAGCACAAATTGAGAATGGCTTGGGCTTTTGCTATTCTCCCCAAACAGTTCAACAAACTGGTGAGCAAGTATCCAGACACATGAGCCTATAAGCTGATTCTCATTCAAACTGCCACAGTATTATTTTTTTGTGTGGTGATGTGCGATATGATGAAAGAAATTGTATTGTATTAAATATAATTGAATTTTGTATATCACTGCTGTATTTAAGAATACCCCCTTTCCTTGACTACTGTAGTCAGAGGAAAGAGTGTTAGGAAAAGAATAAAGTGGTAAAGAGGGGAATCTTCAATGGTTCACTGAACTTTAAAGGCACAGGTACATATATATGTATATATGAGATACGTGTATGTAACACATATATACATATCTGTGTGTGTGTGTGTTATTTGTAATTTAGCCTGTGTTACCTCTTTCAAAGACATTTCATTCAGTTAATGTTGCTAAATTAAAATGCTTTTCTTTATAGGCACTGTCAGTTCTGAAGCACTCGCTGTTATCTTTCAAACATCCCCGAGTCACAGACATGTTGAAGCTTTACTTCTTGTATTCTTTGCAGATCCTGGTGAAAGAGGTAGGAACAAATTCTCTCTCGCTGTCTATGTCTCTGTCTTCTGACTCGGTGTGTGTATGTGTGTGTTTGTGTGTAATAGATTTGCAACAATCTAGATTTTTAACGTAACAGACTTGGTATTTCTTAATTAAAAAACTTTTACCTATGTATGTGTGATGTGTGAGTAGGTGTTATGTGTGTATGGGTGCATATGGAGACAAAAAGAAGGCATGAGAGGCTTAAAACTGGATTTATAGCTACTGTGAGGCACTTAATGTGGATCCTGGGTAATAGCTTAGGTCCTCTGGAACAGCAGCAAGTGCTCCTGACTGTTGAGCCATCTGTCTGTTATGAGTAGTTTCCCCACCAGCCTGGTCCTAGACCCACGCCAACCCCAAATAACAAACCGAGACACTGTATTAGAAATAAAGCTGTTGGCCTATTACTAACATTTCTTACTTGCTAGCTCTGTCTTAAATATTAGCCCAATTCTATCAATTCAAGTATTTCCATGTGGTTTTATCTTACCACAGGGAGAGATGCCGGAGTTCTGCTCTCTTGGCCCTACATGTTGAATCTCCTACCTCTTCCCAAATCCTCCTTCTCTCCTAGTCCTGCCTCTCTTGCTTTCCTATTGGCCAACAGGACTTTATTCATTAACCAATAAGAGAAACATATTTATAGAATGACATCTCCCATCATCTCTTTTCTGTCTAAAATAAAAAGAAGGGTTTTAACCTTAACATAGCAAAGTATATAACAAAGCAGTTATCAAATAATAACCACAGTTTACAATATTCAGTCCATTAACATTTAGCAAGATTTAAAGAAAATATTCCGTCATCTATCCTATCTTTATGAGTCTAAAGTCCTATATGTAACTTATCTTTAATCCCAACTAAGGAAAATTCTAACATAACTGTCTTCAACTCCATCAAAGACCACAGAAGGATAATATATAAACTCTAGAAATGACAGAGACATTGTGCTACCTGATCAGTAACCTGAAATGCTTCTGTAGTGTTCCATCTTCAACCTATAGGCCATAGTGAGTCTGACAGTCTCCTCTGCAAAGCATGAAACTTTAAACTGTCCAGCTGTATTGGCAGTTTGTTAGTCATTTTTCTCTGTGTCCTATAGACTGTCTGTCAGACTCTTCCATGAAGCAGGAACCCTGTAGCAATGTCCATCTTGTATCAGCAGTTACTTTCCTGTGGGTCCTACATGTCCAGTTTATATAGAATAAAGTCAAACAGTCAATACAAAAACAGTAACTTGACCAAATGGCTAGTCTTGCCATATTGGAAGTAAACTCCATAACGAGTTTCTTCGATGTCTATCTTCCTTTGTGAAAAAGGTGGTGTTGCCAGGAACAGTTGTGCCTCAATGTCAAGAAAAACCCTAAACCATTTTAAATGCCATACTCTGAAGGTCTTTGAGGAATGTCTACTCATCTCAAATTAATCTCTGTATATCTAGAAAGCCTAATTAACTTAACTCTAAATTTTGACTATTATAGATAAAACCTAACTAAAATTTTGACTCTTATAGGTTAACTATCTAAAATCTGTACTATATAAATAGTACTAAAATCTGAGCTATATAAACACAATACATAAACAAGAGGAGAAATATACATTGACCTTAAATTGTATCAGTAAATAAAAATCCATTCCAAAACAAAGTATTCATTTTTACCTTTAAAAAGAGATTTGTTGTGTCATTAACCATTTATAATCAACCCCATTTAAATGAAAACAAACATTTATAAACAATATTTGGGAATTTGAGCATCCTTCTTTCCAAACTGCTTCTTGCTAGTAGGGGGTGCTGTCATGGAGATCCTAAGAAGACACAAAAATCTTGGCTATCGTGGTCTTCAAGGTTGCCTTGTCCCAGCTATTTTGAATATTGGATCACCTGGGACACTATTTCAGAGGGGTCTTGGTTGATCAAACCATGTTAGTATGGAAGGAATCCATAGCTTTTCATTTTCTGTAGAGCAAAAATAGAAATTCTTTTCTCCAGTAACCTGTCCTTAGCCTTTTATTTTGGAGTCAAAGCATTTTTAAAAATTATAAATTGGATTAATTTATCATCATTGGTAATCAAGTGTATTATAGCAATTATTTCTTCCTCAGCAATTGAGCAATTCAAAGACAACACCATAGCATACAGTATCCAGACTCTTTGTGTGTCATACATACCATTGAATTGTTAGCAACACTTCTTAACAACAGTGAGGTTTTTCTGCTGCTATGTGAGTCAGGAAACATCCCTTAAAGGAACCACTCAAATCTCTGCTTGTCTTTAGCTAAATAGAGACCAACCAAGAAAAATGCTGCTACCAAGAAGCCTTGCTTGTCTCTGTTCTTTTGTTTCTAAAATCCTTTTTTAAGATTTTATTAAGTTTTAAGTGGATATTCTTGGTTTCCATGTTGAAGGCACCATTTTGTTACGAGTAGTTTTCCTACCAGCCTGGTCCCAGAGCCATGCCAGTACCAAATAACATACAGCCCTAGATTTTTGTTTTTAACTAAACTGCATGATTGCGATCTTTAGGAAAAAATAATTAATGAGTACTGCTAGTTGTAATTCATGTAATTATTAACCAGTTAATAGTTACCATCTTATTGACATACACTATTTAAAGTGATAAAGGATAATCTACTTGTTGCTAATTTTGTGAGTTGAGCCAAACTAACACATTACTTTTGTTCTTTAGGGACATATAGATCAGGAAGGTAATCCCACAGGGTTTGCTGGCCTTGTAACTCATTTACATTACCATGAACCATCTAATCTTGTTTTTGTGAATTTCCTTGTAAGAGGACTTTTCCATAATCTTTGTCAACCAACTCACAAAGGTAAGTTTAAGGGCTGTGTTGTATGTGTGTGTCTCTGTGTATTATCAAAATAATATTATCATATCATACAGCATATAAATGATATGTTATTATTAGTGTATGGGTATATATAAAATAATGTATGATGCATTATAAATATTATATATGTATAAAATCATGTGTGTGTGTGTGTGTGTGTGTGTGTGTGTGTGTGTGTGTGTGTAAAATCTTCCCATGGTGAGAAGAAAAGCCTGATAGATTGATAGGAAACTAGAACTTCAGGAATACATTTACTCAATAATCACTTTAGAAAGTATCAGCTACTTGTATGTATAAAAATCTATTTTTGTTCATTTTAACTAAAAGTTTAATAATAAAATGGAGAATGATAATTATATAGACAAATTATAAGTTTATAAATAAGATAAAGTTAAACAAGTACTAATAGAGATTCTATTTTTTGACAATGATTTAAAAATATTCACTATTGCAAGTTGGAACTTGAAAAGTATATTGCCACTATGATTCTGAACATATTGAGTTATACAATATTTATAAACTATTTCATTGTAATTACATATATGGTGAATTTTGAAGAACAGCCCAGGAAAGCATTGTTAGTATATAAAACCTAAAATCCCACCTACAAATATAATCAGTATTAATATCTGTGTCTAGAACACTATTTCTTTGAATTTAAATTGTACACTATTCATAAGTAACTGATATTGCATTAATTATGTGTTCAAGGTCAATTATACATATTAAATTTTGCCCATGGTTACTGGGCAACCTATTTAAAATAAATCCATGCAGTTTTTATGGGAAAAAAAACCCCTTTGTGTTTTACATTTAAAAATAAATTTTTTTTTACATAATGTCTCTGCAGTAAATAATACCCTCGCATAGTAGCCATGCTTAATGTTGTGATACTTCCCAGTTCATGATGGCTTCCATGCCTTATGCTCTGTCTTCTGTTACCAGCTGATGCAAATCCTTTGCCTTGCACAACACCTGCAATCTTTATGCTTTAAAAATGTACCATTTTGTGGCTATTCAGAAAGTTTTCTTCTCCCAGAATTTGTAAAAGTCAAGCGAATGTGTGGTTGTGTTTATTGTTGTTGAGAGAGGTAGCCAAAATGAATAACTTTATAAAGAATGCATAGAGAAATTAAATAAACAGACATGCACCTAAACTTTTAAGAAGTCACAGCCAGCACTGAAATGTAACTAGCCTGATACTAGACCCCAAGTTATTGATTATCACAACTTTTTACCATTCCTACTATTTATGTGCTGTGTGAATGCAGTGATTCAAGTGGACGTAGCTCTGTTGGTGCTGAGGAAGGCTCTCTGTAGGTTTAGTTTTGGATATTTTGTTGCTTGAAGGCAAGGATGTAATGATATCACTAAACCTAATATAAATGATAAATGGGTGTCTATTGGGGGAACACTTACACACACACACACACAAAAAAAAAAATACAGAGAACTGAGTATTTCCATGCTCTCCTTATGGGATCCAGTGACCCATCAAAAAGAGCATGTGCAAGCGAGACTAATGCCTTACACCATATGCTTCCCTCTTTCTACTCCTGTCTACCTGAAACCACACCCAAAGGGGTGTGGCCTCCATATATTTTCTCAGACCAGATGCCTACAGTTTTTATGCATGGAGATATAAGAAATTGTTAACCAGGTGAGAGAGACCAGCATTGTTTGCATGAGTATAGCAGTCATAGGCTTAATATTTTGTTACCAGGGAGTGACACTATTTGAAAAGATAAGGAGGTGTAGCACTGGAGGAAATCTAGACTTTCTTTTCTGCTGCTAGTGCCAAATAACTACACAGAGACTTTTGATGAATTATGAAAGTTTGACCTTAGCTTAGGCTTATCCTTCTGGTTCTTATAACTTAAAGTAACCCATTTTCAGTAATCTATGATTTGTCATAGGGTGTAGCCTCTCTTTCATCTCTCTCCTTCTGTATCATCTCCATATGTGACTTGTGATGCTGCCGTTTTCTTTCCCAGAGTCCTTTCTGTCCACAGAAATTCTGCTTATATATCCTGCCTAGCTTAACCATTCAGCTTTTTGTCACATCAATTACAGTAGATATATCTTTACCCAGTATACAAAAAACCCCAACAAAATTATGCCACTATGAGGTGGGTTTTGAAGTTTCAAAAGCCAGTCAAGTCCAGAGTCTCTCTATCTTCCTAATGCCTGCAGATCCAGATATAGAACTCTCAGCCAATTTTCCAGTACAACATCTGCCTACATGCCCATCTTAATGATAATAGACTAAACTTCTGAAACTGTGAGCAAGCCCCAATTAAATGCTTTCTTTTATAACAATAATCACAGTTGTGATGTTTCTTCATAGTAATAGAACACTAACCAAGACAGAAGTTGGTACCAGAAGTTTAGTGTTGTTGTGACAGGCCTGACCATGCTACTGTGGTCAGAAGGAAGACTTTGGATTAGGAAAGCAGTTAAACATTTTAAATGTGGCTTAATGGGCTGTACCAGAGTGATGTTGAGAGCAATGTAGATTATGATGGCTCAGCTCAAGAGATTTCAGAGGAGAAAAGTATTAGTAAGTGTCCTAGAGAGTGTTCTTGTAATATGTTGGTGAAGAATTTTCTGCTCTTATCAAAAAAAAAAAAAAATTATGCCAGAGGCTAAATTGAAGAATTCTGGATGAATGACCATGGCAGAGATTTCAAGGCAGCTTAGTATTGACTATATCCTGAGACTGTTATTAGTAATTCTTACTCAGATCTATAATGAAGAGGAACAAGCTTGACAAGAAAAATTCGTAATGTATAGATTTAGGAGAAAAGGAGCACCAGGAGGTTTAATGGAGCTAAGCTCTGAACTCAAGGAGATTACAAGTTTAAAGAAACTAGGATACAAGGTGTATTCTAAGAGATTCATATAAAGTCCCTCACAGAAGGGGGAAGAGAGAAGTCCCCCAGAGCACATGGGGAGTGGGGGGGCAGTGAATGGAGAGAGAAGGAGGAGAAAGAGAAGGGAAGGAGAGGAAAGCATGTGCGACTAGGAAGATTGTGTCAGGGTAGGAATAGAAGACAGGAGAGGGAGAGACAGACAGAGAGAGAGAGAGAGAGAGAGAGAGAGAGAGAGAGAGAGAGAGAGAAAGAGAGAGGACATAAAAGATGAAGCCATTATTGGTTTGAAGAGAAGACTGAACCTAAAGAAAGGTCTAGAGACCTACAAGACTGCTGCCAACTAAAAAGTTGAGCAACCATGGAAAGGCTACCATAAATGCCCTTCCTGGATAGTGAGATCAACAACTAACTTATTCACCATCATGAAGCCCTCATCTAGTACCTGATGAAAACAGAAGCAAACGTGCATAATTAAACACTGAGTTGAACTAGAATCCAGATGCAGAGGGAGAGGACAAGACCAGGTTGCAGAAACACATACAGACAGCTGACCTGAACAAGGAGGAGCTAACGGGTCCCCCAGGCTGATAGCTGGGAATCCAGCATGGGACCGACACAGACTCCTTGAATATAGGTCTCAGCTAGAAGGCCTGAGCAGTCTAAGGGACCTCAGACAGTGGAACCTGGATATATTCCTGGTGCACAAAAGGACCTTGTGGACACATCCCCCATGGAGGGATAACTGCCTTAATCTCGAGACAGGAGAGAAGCCCTAGTCCCTACTTCAAATGACCTGTCAGATCTACATGACCCCAACTGGATGGCATTGCCCTACATGTGGAATTGGGGTGGGGGGATGTGAGGGGAGGGTGGTCAGGATGCATGTGATGTGGCAGAGAGGGTAAAAGGGAGGGAGGGAGAGAGAAGGAACTGGGATTGACAGTAAAATAAAAAAAATAATAATTGATTTTGGTACTCATACAATAAAAATGGCTCATAATTATAATTTTGTAAAAAAATATACATACATGTGTGCAACTTAAAATAGTCTCACAAAAAAAAAATAAAAAAGTTTGATGTTAAATGGTGGTAACCTTAGAGCAAAACTCTACCCACCTAAGCTTTCAACTTGTGAAAAGGAATTAAAGAAAAGCTTAAGCAGGGAAGGAAACCATCGACAGCAGAAACCTGGTGCAGATATAATTTAAAGATGAGGTCAAATTCAGCCTAAGCAAGCAGTGGAACATGAAAACTTTAGCCACATCATTCTGGCTTTAGAATCAAGAATACAAGAAAAGGGTTAAGGCATCTCCTTTTGTGCCTAAGGACAGTTCGTGAGGCCAGGTATGTGTCATTGGTGTGCCTGCATGGATACTCAGAGAAGCAATTGCACAAAGCATTGAAAGTCAAGCAAGAGCTGTGGGTTACCTGCAACAAGAGCTGCAGACGATGTGTGGAACCAGCTCAAGAGAGAAAAGTGTTTTAGCGTGAACAGAGCTGAAAGGAGTTGGAGATCTGAAGAGTGCCTTGACATCAGACATGGAGATGAAGAATGTGGAGCTTGTCCAACTGGTTTTCAGTCTTGATTAGGTCTAGTGTTTCCTCATTATGCTCCCTTTCCTCTCTTTGGAATGGTAGTGTATATCCTGTTTGACTGTATGTTGGAAGCATATTTATTTCAATTTTCTAGGGAGCTACAGTTAGGAGATTCCAGTGAGTTTCATAAGAGACATTGAACTTTGATAACTGTGATAAACTACAGGGACTTTTGAACTTGGACTAAATGCATTATATATTATTATATGGCTACTAGCCTGTTGGGGGAGCAAGAAGTGGAATGTGGTGGTTTGAATGAATATAGACCTTATAGACTCGTAGATTTGAATACTTGGTCATAAGGGAGTGGCACTATTTGAAAGGATTAGGAAGTGTGGTCTTTTTGGAGGAAGTATGTCCCTAGGGAGTAGGCTTTGAGGTTTCAAGAGTCCCTTCCAAGTCTAGAAAATCACTAATAAATTGAGTCTTAAGAAATATATAGGCACAGGGATTAAGAAGAAAAGAAAGGGGGACATTTTAAAACAGGTAGGTGAGAAGAATTATGGTTTCTCCTTTTCCAAAGTACCAGCTCAGCTTCTTTTGAGTATCAACCTGATTATCAATGAAGGACTTTGAAATTACTTGGGATGATTGAGTATACAATAGGGATATGATCCTTGATCTTTTTACCTTTATATAATAAAATAAATGAAAAAATGTGACTAAGAAAGTAAAGTTCAAAAACATTCATATTAGAGAATTTATCTCAAATTAATTTCCAAAGTTCAAAAATATTTAAAACATTATGCATTTGATTAAATTTCGAATAACTCTGGAAAATAATGTGAAGTTCTCTTTACTGGAACAGTGGTAAGGATTTTAAATTATTACTGAAGAATTGTAGAAATTTCACCCACCTATACCCTTGTGTGAATGGGAAAAGACATTTCAGTGATGAGCAGGTAGTAATGTTGCCAATGGATCTGATGCAGCTTCCCATGAATTTTGCAACTAGCAGTTACAGTAGCAGGATCTCCGTAGTGGTTTGAATAAGAATACATCTCCCAGGCTCATAAGTTTGAATACATGGTCTTTTGGGGATTTGATAGAGATTGTTGCCTTGTTGGGGTAGGTATTGGATGAAGTATGTCACTGGGGGGGGGGTGGGCTTTGGGTTTGCAAAGCTCAAGCCAGGCCCAGTGGCTATCACTGTCTTCTTGTGCCTGGTGATGTAGATGTAGAACTCTCAACTTCTCCAACACCATGTTTGCCTGTGTGTTACCATACTCCCTGTCATGTTGAAAATGCACAAAACCTTTGGAACTGAAAGCAAGCCCCAACTTTCTTCTTTTCTTTTATAAGAGTTGCTGTGGTCATTGTGTCTCTTTACAACCATAGAACATTGACAAAGACAGGGACATTGTTATAAACTTAGACATCTACTCAAAGATAGGTTGAAACAAGCAAAGTGTAGATTAGAATATAAGATGATTTGTAGTAGGAAAAATAAGGATGTTAATGGAGATAAAAGCAGTGATATAAAAGGCTCAGGCAAGAAGCATCTGCAGCTGAAAATGTTCTACAATTGTTATGAAATGAACACTACAATTATTTTAAACATGAAAAAAATTATGTATATAACATGGAACTTTTGTTTTGTTAAGGGTCAAAACGTTTTTCTAAAGATGTAATGGAAAAGCTGGTTTTAGTATTGGCAAATCTGTTTGGGAGAATGTATATTCCAGCAAAGTTCCAAGATGCTAACACCAAGTTTTATCAATCAAAGGTAAAATCTTCTGATAAAATTAATTAGTAATAGCACACAGATTCTGCCAGAAATGATTTTATGAATTTGGGGTAATTAATGTATTTTGTATACTAATTTGTTCCTTTTGGAAATGGTGTGACATCTGTAACTCAAAGTCCTTTTGTTCAATGTTCAAAGGTTACCTGACTTGAGGGTAAGCAGGATAAAAGTACATTCTTGTTTTTAATTGATTGCATCCAACTATAGAATTAATGAAAAGGTGTACATGGGCCTGGGAAGATGACTTGATATAGTGCTTGCCATGCAATCATGAGGATCAGAATGTGGATTTCCAAACCCACATGAAAAGGTGTACATGGTGACACACCTTATAATCCCAGAACTGAAAGGGCAGAGAAATATGAATTCCTGGACCTGACGATTCAGGTTAGCCTAATAGGACAGCTCTAGGTGTGGTAAGATACCTTGTTTCAAAAAATAAGGTGGAACCCACACACATATTCATGGGCATGCACATAGAAAATGTAGGCAATTATTCATTTAATCCCCAAAGCCATCCTAATTATTGAATGTGTGTTTTGGGATATGGTTGTATGTCACAGTGTCATCTCTGAGAAAGTGTTGCAAAGTTATCTGGGAAATTGTCCTTTGATTCCTAGAATGTCAATCTTAGAAACAGTTTCCCAGTGTTAATATTTTCATCTTGTTTGGTCACTTTTGACAAGGGGCATTTGTCCATTTAATTAAAACAGTTGTATTTATTTCCACAAGATAACTTCTCCTGGTGCTTTGAGTTGATTCTCTTAGGAATTCCATGTAACTTCCTGATGTAGCACTGATGTGGCATGGATGACAAAGCAGAATTCTTTTCTTCACAGTTCTTCAGGTTCAGAAGTCATAAATGAAGATGTTTAGTGTGGGTCTTCTTTCTAGGTTGTAGTTTTTACTATAACAAAACTACAAAACAAAGAAAATTGGAGACATGGCACTTTCATGCATACAAGTTGAAAAATAATTAACAGTGTTAACACAGTGAGAGTTTTGAAACCTCTCAACCAGGTGCAGTTGATACCAGGCCTGAAAACATGCTTTATCTCCTTTGCTCTACAAATGTGTTCCTAGAGCCTATGAAATTACTCATGGGCCTGGTGGCAGTTGAAGACATGCTCTTACTTTTACAAAAGTCATTTTGATTAAGTAGTATCAGAGTAAATGTTATGAGTATTTAGTATTACAAGTCCAAGTAAGAACAACCACAACAAAAATATTAACCTCAGTTCAACCAAGAAAAGAAAATATGGCTTTACTGAAAACAATAGGATTATACTATGTGAGCTTCTACTTTCACTGCTCCATATACTCAGCTTTTATTGAAGGTATTCTCTGCTCTATGGCTTTTAGGTGTTCCTTGATGACCTCCCAGAAGACTTCAGTGAGGCCCTGCTTGAGTACAACATGCAAGTTACCAAGAACTTTGCTTCTTTTCTGCTAATTGTGTCTCAATTTGCTGATATGAAACAGGAATATCAACTCCCCTTGTCAAAAATTGGTAAGTGTGATTTAGTTCCACTGTGGAGCAATTTAGTAATAGTGTTGCCCTAGGACATGTAATATGGGTGTTAGGGATGCATGTTAGTGGTAGAGCTCCAACTCTACCATTTTTATCTCAGAAGACTGGCGCTCTAGAAAAGTCAACTTGCCTTGGAATAATTTTTTTTCTGATTTTAAAAAAAGAAACAAAAGGGAAGTTGGTGATTGACCATTAAAAGGGCAGTGAAGAATGAAACTAAAATCAAATTGAATCATTTATAAACTGTTTTGATTGAGGGCTGACTTTGGGTAAGTCCTAGAAAATGAAGAAGGAAGTCTTTGAGACAAGAGAAACAAAAGGAATTCTGTGAGCCTTTTCAGGAGAGGCTTAATGGTGAACATCATAGATGTTGGGCAGATCCCCTAACTCTGCTAATTCTTACCTCTGAAATTCAGGCAAGTGATGCCACAGACATGTCCTTGCTTTATCAATGGACACTTGAAATGGAGAATAATATCTTTTAGTATTATCAAGATTCAAAAGATTATTTTTAAATGATTAGTATATGTTAATACCTTGAAGTAGGGCTTAGCATATGGGAAAATGGTTCAATTTTGCTGTTTTTATTTATAAACAATAGATGGAAGTTTTCTAAGAGACAATAAACAGAAAAGGGTGACAGAGATATGAAACTTTGATTGGGAAAAAACTGTTGGTGGCTCACTATATCTTAACATCTTCAGTTGGGGAAATCAAGGAAGTGGAGTGTGTAACCTATTAGACTCTATAAACATAGGGGCACTGTGAACAAGAGCAGATAGTAATGGTAGACACATACTTCTCTGTGAAGGTAGATGGGATCAGGAGGACATTCTGCTTCATTTACACACCATAGGCCACTTTGATGATATGACCTAGAATTTTCTAAAATGAAGGATGAATAGTATACATTTTCTCATAACCATTTCCAAGCTTTCTCATAGCAGACATTATAATACAATATTTAGTCTATTCTCAAACTACTGTGAACATGCCCAGTTTGTCAGATCTGGAAACCAAAATTGGACATGTTAGTACTGAGAGAGAACACTGAAAAATTCTAAGGCTGTTGTGGGTTGTTCTTCTGCATATATGTTTCTTTTATTGGTTGATGAATAACACACTGACTGGCCAGGCAGAAGTATAGGTGGGGCTAGGAGAAGAGGAGATTTCTGGGAAACATAGGCAGAGGGAGTCATCATGTAGAACCCAGGAAGAGAGGACTCACAAGACATTCTCCGGTAAGCCAAGACCATGTAGAAATACATAGATTAAAAAGCTCAAGCCACTGGCTAACAGTTTCATAATTAAGATAAGTCTTCATGTGCTTATTTGGGGCTGAAGCGGTTGTGGGATCAGCCTGGTGCGGCAGAAAGTTTCAACATAAAGTCACGACTGAATTCAGTGGAGAAATGTTTCTTAGATAAGAGTTTAATTTAGAAAACTTTCTAGTTTAGTTAACTTTTGAGTGATCAAAAACCTAGTACGTATTTTTTTTTTCAATAGTGATGCCAACACTAAAGGCTAACAGTTAATGGATGTATCCCATCACAAGCTGGCTTGGTCATTCAGTATGTGTTATAGCAATTTGTCTTCATTGTGACATGGCCTCTGTTAGGTCCAATGGCTTCCCTTTTTAGCTTGGTTTAGCTCTCATACAAAGAAATGAATATTCCAGGCATGGTGATGCCTGCCTTTAATGCCAGCACTCAGAAGCAGGGGCATCTCTGGAGGACAGGGGGATGTCTATGATCAGTAAGTCTTACACAGAGAGTTCTAGGTCAGCTGATGATACAAAAATGAAAAGAACAATAACAAAAAGGAATCATCTCAATTTATTCTGGTCAGAGTTCACAGGTAAAGAATGTGAAGATTCCCCACTTGTGTCTCACTTGATGAACTGCAGGGAAGGAAGGGTGGCAGTTTCACCATTTGTTTGTCTGTCTGGAAAATTCGATGTGGATTTGCTTCATCCAGGAGTTTCAAATAATGTAAGTAAAGGATGTTGTTTATTAATTAGTTAGTCTCTGTGAGTCTTTTGCTCAAGTCTGAATGGTATATTGTAGCAGACTGTTGTTGAAGCTGTGGAACACTAACATAAAGAAGATTTTAAAAATATACTTTCCATTCTAAAAAACAATTTTTTTACTAATTAGTTTTCCCAGTGGGATCAGACACTGATCAAAGTTTTTCTTCCCTCCCTCCTCTCTCCTCCCAGTTCCTTCCACAACCTGCATCCTTACCCACCAGCCAACCATTCCTTTACCTTTCTTTTCAGAAAAGTGCAGGTCTCCGATGTAGAACAACCAACCATGGCACATCAAGAAAAGTAATTTTTAAGAGCTTTGATTTCTTTATTTTGTATGGATGTCTGTAAAGGATTAGTTGGATATATAAGAGATTTGTAGTTACGTACATTGAAAAAACAATAAGCATCATAGTTTTTTTTCCCAAGATGGCTCATGTACATAATTCCAACACTGGAGGTGCTGAGACTGCTAAAACTTTCATTATTGCATAATGAGTTTCAGATAGCACTAGAATGAGGTCCTGTTTCAAGATTGGAAGTGTGTGGAAGAAGAGGAGGGAGAGGAGGCTAGCAAAATAATTAATTTTTCCATTTATTATGTAATTAACTCAATTTATTAAATGTAACCATCACTTTCACTTTCTTTTTAGATGTAGAGTTTCCATGATAATCCAGCGGGTGCTGATACAATGAGAGTAAACTGTAAAGTCTGTGTCTTGTTGCTATAATATATGCATCAAGTAGAAAAGACATAGGTGTATGCATGAACTCATTCCCATTTACCCTTACCGTCCATGGAGGTCTAGAAAATAGTGTCTGCTTATCTTTCCTTCACTTTGAGCATCTGGCATAGGTATTTATAATCATGTTACTTGATCATAGCTTGTTTTTTTGTTTGTTTGTTTGTTTTTGGTTTTTTTTTTTTTGCTTGACCTAATTCACTTAACACAAATTTGTTTTATTAAAGTATATGGTAATCTCTTGAAATTTCACTTATTTGTGTTGCTGGGTCCTAATATCTCCCTTGGAGCAGGGGTTGAGAAGACATAGAGTCAGTAGCACAGATTCTAGAAGTCAGATAAAAGGCAAGCAGCAGACTTCTCTATTTAGCAATAGGGAGAACCATATATACCCTCCCAGCACCTGTTGGAAGCAGAAGCAAACATCCACAACTAAACACTGAGTTGAACTAGAATCCATATGCTGCAAGGGAGAACAAGACCACGCTGCAGAAACACAGAGACAGTGTACCTGAACAAGGGGGAGCTAACGAGCCCCCAGACTGATAGCTGGGAATCTAGCATGGGACTGACTCAGACCCTCTGAACATGGGTCTCAGCTAGAAGGCCTGAGCAGTCTAAGGGACCTTAGTGGAACCAGGATATATTCCTGATGCACAAAAGGACTTTGTGGGCACATCCCCCATGGAGGGATACTCCCTTAACCTAGAGACAGCAGAGAAATCCTAGTCTCTACTTCAAATGACTTGACAGATTTAGATGACTCCTCCTACATGTGGAGTTGGGGGAGATGGGAGGGGAGGGTTGTCAGGGTGTATGTGGGGGGGGAGAGGGAAAGAGGGAAAGAGGGAAGGAGGGAGGGAGGAAGAGAGGGAGAAGGAACTGGGATCAATATGTAAATAATAAATAAAATAAAAAAGTTTGTTTTTTTTTTAAAGAAAGATACACAGAAATAGAGAAAGGTAAAAGCCTGGAGTCAAAATATACATGGGATAATTGAAGTTAGCTAGAAATAAGTCAAGCTAATTCCAGAATTGAAAAGTAAGAATAATCTCTGTGTCATTTATTTGGGAGCTGTATGGCAGGCCCCCAAAGACCAAAGAGCAGAGAGTAAAACAAACTACTATACTTTAGAATTTAATTGGGCCAGTTTACAGCATCCCTAGCACTATATCAGTACTCCTGTTGGTCACATGAAGCAGAGTTTGCAAAAAGAACAAACACAGAAAACTACTTATATGCTTTCTTCCTTTTCTATTGTTCTTGTCCTATCCTCTCTCTACTCTTTTTATTCTGGTTGCTGATTCTGAAGATTATTGCATTTGTTCAGTTGATGTTCTCTTGTGACGGATATGCAGGCCTCTTGCTCTTTGAAACCCCATTTGGAAAGGTATTCTCTGGATTGTTAAGGAGACTTTAAAATCCTTCAATTATCTTTACTTTCCTATTCAGTCTTGCTCAATTCCTGCAAGATTGGTGGGTTTTCCATCACCATGCAGTAGGGGCAGTGCTCTTCCCAGGTGGATCTATGCCCTTGGATGCACTGTCTCAGTGTGTGCAGAAGGCACCTCCTTCTTCTACCAACAGTGTGGTCTTGAAGAGCACTGATGAAGATGAAATAACTGCACATTATAAGCCACAAGCCTTCTGTCCATGTAAATAACCATTCAAAAATTCTACTTTTTAGGTAATTCTGCACACAATTGGTATCAATCACACTCAAGCTCCACTGCTGTGGCCACATAGACTGGATAATACAGGAAGAAAAATGCCACTTAATGCATATGCACTTGACTTCTATAAACATGGATCCCTTGTGGGATTAGTTCAAGACAATAGGTATGTTCTCTCCTGGTAATTCCAAGAAACCATTAGCCCTGCCAAGCATATTGGCTTTTTACTTTCAGATTGATGGAAAAGGAGATGACATATTCTATACTATTTTTATTTCTAGTTTGTCAGCAAAAAATTGGCATTTAGGCCAAGTCACTCTATATGTATCTTTGTGAATATTTGGTATATCTTTATATTACAGTTCTACTTAGGCAGCATTTGGTATTTTAATGACTAATATCAATCTGGTATTGCTTAATGCCTAAAGAATATAAAGTATCTAATTTACATTTCTGGTTCTGAGACAATTATTTTAGTTTGTTGTCAGGAAAGCCATTTCTATAAGTGTAAGCAGGACTAAGAATTGTTTAGGCCACTCTGCATACAATTGCTGTAGACACAGTGTTCTGGCTGCAAAAGTTGGACAGCCGTGGAAGAAAACTGCCACTTAACACATATGCACTGGACTTCTGTAAGGACGAATCTTTTGTGAGGTTTGACTAGGTCAATAGGTATCTTCTCTCCTGATACTTTCAAGATATAATTAGTCATACCAAGCATATTAGATATTCACATTCAGGGATGTATTCAGGGAAATATCCCTAAGCAGGGAGATACTGGACCAAATGATAGACACATAGATCTAGAGGCAAATACACTAAGGAATTAAACATGCAGTTGACATAAAAGTTGAGCAATCCTTATTAAGTTAAGGTATGAAAAGTTTGATAGTCCTCAGAAACCTGGAACAACTCTTTTCTATTAAATACAATTTATTATTGTGAATAAAGTAGCTGTTACATTAGCAGACAATATTTTTGCTTTTAAAACTTATCCATTGCTAATTTCATAACTGTATAGAAACTGTTATGACTTCAATCTCCTTCCCCACTTTCTTGTATATCTTCCCAATTGTACCTCTTAAACCCAGCAAACCAGCTTCCCATTTTTGTGTTTTTGAAATTTGTTTTGCTTTTGTTTTGGGATCCATTGAGTTTTACCAGGGCTGCCCGAATGGGTGTGAAACACGGGGGACTCACCTGTGACTACAATAATGAAGAAAAATGATTCTCCTTTCTTCAGCTCATAGGTCCCTGTGCAACCCTTGGGAAACTAGTTGTCCTATAAACTGATCTCTCATCCCTGACTGAATGTCAATGGTTCCAATCTTGTCAGGCAACTTTAGTTTCTAGGAGATCATGAGTCATGCCATGCCCAGAAGATTGCTTTTCAAAGCACTCTCCTCACATCCGGCTCTTAGTTCTTTTTGTGTTCTGTGATGTCTTGCCTTGGTGGAGTGACATAGATGTTCCAAATATGTATTAGTGCTCATAGTCACTTATTCTCACAACTTTGACCAATTATGAGCTACCCACTGTAAAAAAAACCAAAACACCCCCCCTAAAAAAAACCAAAACAAACAAACAATCCAACTGTGATCATGGCTAAGACAGACATAATTTACTGGTGTAAACAATACTAGTAAATAATTTTGTGTAATTAATTTCAGTTTTTCTCTTGTCTAGGATACATCAAAGAGCAGTTTACCAGTTGTTGAAAGATTTTTACCTTACCATTAAATCTATCAGGTATGTTTTATGTTAAATATTACTTTCCCATTTTTCAGAAATTTAATTACAATTTGAAAATGTTGAGATTTTTTTTTATAATGATCCAGGTATGTAAAGTGTCATTGAGCCTGTTAGATACCACACATTTCAAATTCCCAGAGGGTTTGTATAGTTCTCCATCTCCACAAACTTGTAGTTATGTTCTGTGTTATAATTAATTCCACACCATTTTAGAGATTAAGGCCCATCTAAATAGAGTCTCGGGCTCAGGCACTACACAACAACAGAAAACTATTGCACAGCATTACTGATTCCAGATACTAATATTCTCAATGATCCCTATTTCAAAATCATATCAAATACATGATGTTTCTGAGGTGTTGTTGAAGCTCTAAGTTATAGCATGTGCTTTCTCTTCAACTGTCTTGCTATAACCTGTATTTTTCTTCAGGCTTTGTCCAACTGTCAATGCATAGTCACTTCCTGTTTTGATCTACAACAAAGCCCAGTTAATTACAAGCAATGTCAAACTTTATGTGTGCACCCCATTCTTAGGCTCCACTGGTCATCTTCCTAACCTCTCAAATCTAAATTCATTTTATCACTTTAGTAGTGGTTCTTTATCTTATCACAATGACTATAAATATCATCATTATCATTTCTGTAATAAGCATTTCTATGTTTCATTTTCTTTATCAGAGCTGAATTAGGTCAATATGGAATGTTTATATACACAGAGTAAATTTGGTGCATACAAGAGCTTTGTCCATCTATAGCAGTGATTCTCAATCTTCCTAATGTTACAACCATATCAGGAGGAAGTATGATATTAATTGCCCTTTGCCATGGAGCCTATGATGATTATAGGTTTCTGAGGCTTTAGGTGAGGACATCTGAATTAGATGAGGACCATTATTCTACTGAACACATCTCACATTTATCCTTTCCTCACTTATCTTAGAGAAAGGAAGGTTTTCTTCTCCATAGTGGATTACAATATATTTTGGACACAGTAGTAGAAAAACAAACAAACAAACAAACAAACAAATAAAATCTGTCCATGGGATATGCAGAGAAAAGAAGATTGTGTTGTACTACCTAAGAGAGCAACAATCAAAAACTTACCATTTGGTAGCCTTTTAATCACCTTTTTTTAATAAAGGCACTGCATGGAACATCTCGTCTTATTTTGTCATTTCTTTCTCATTTTTTTGTATACACATAATTTGATTAATAAACTTGTTTCGTATAAGTGTTTCTTATAATTTGATAATACTCTTTAATCACTTTATAGGATAGTCTTTTTTTTTATAATACTCAATACCACTAGTTGACTAATAGTATATATATTCTTCTATTTGTAGTGTCTCCTTGCGTGAACTGTGTGAAAATGAAGAAGACAACGTTGTTTTAGCATTTGAACAATTGTCCGAGTCCTTTCGTGAAAAGCTTGAAAAAGTGTGAAAAGAAAAGTGATATAAACCACTTAAATTATCACCATAGAAGCTTTGCAAGTTATATGATTTTTATTCTTATGTCTTGATCAGAAAATCATACACAATGAAGTGGAATGAGCAAGCAGTTTGGAGTTAAAGAGTTGACATTAAATTTGCTGTGTTTGGCTGTGAGCACCCTTGTCCAAACTATTTGTTATGGTTAAGTCTTGGTTTCTTTAAATGACCAACTAAAAATGTTTATGTCTCCAAATTATTGAGGATTGAATGAAAAAATGCAGGATTTTGCATATACATGTTTGAAGACTTTTTACAGTCTGTGAGACCCAAACAAATATTACATTTAAATATTTTCACTGTTAATATATGTAAAAAATTTGTTGAAACTAGAACATAAATGATTGCAGTATCCTGAAAGTGTAATATATTCTTCCCAATCAACATTAAAGGATTGTTCTGCTTAGATAGCTAGCTATTAACATAGTACATCTTAGTAAAATTTTGTAAAAATTGTTTATTTTATTCAATTTTGTGATAATTTAAAAGGAAATATGTAGCTAATATTCTGCTTCCTTTTAATTGTATATATATATATATATATATATATATATATGACTGGTGAAATAATGACTTTATTGGTTTCATTTCTGTGAAAAATATTCATTTGTTCACTTGCACACTTCCATTCATTCTGCATAATTATTTACATAGAATCATTCTGCAATTGATGCCTTAGCCTTAATTCTCAACTTCAGAATCTATTAGAAATCCTCAACTTGAACTATAGCACTGATTCCTTAAAACAAATATGTGTATTTTCTCCTAATTGGGCATCTCATGCATGCTCTTTTTGGTGTCACTATAAGCAGATTATAGTGGCTTAATAAAACCTGTCATGGTTCATTTATTTCTGAAGCAGAAAAGTACTAATTATTGGAGATGATGTTCCATTTCATGAGTGATGTCTCTTGGTGGCGGTAGTGGGGGCTACAAGTTAAACTTTTCATTCTTTAAATGCTACAACAATACTGTAAATTCAAGAAACTTAAAAAAACAGGATCCTGCCTATCAACTCCTAATTGCCATCCAGTGGAATGTTACACATTGTGCAATTTATTGTCATGTCAATTTTAACTTAACTCTTGTACTTAGGAATCCAGAATGGAAGTGAAAATTTCTTGCTCTCCTATATGTATAAACTTATCTGGTTTCTAGATTTTTAGAACAGTGAGGTCATTTTTGCTGTCTGGAATTATCTGTCACATCTTTGAGGTGAGTCTCCTGGGGATGGGAGAGGGCTGATTCTTTAGTTTTCAGCTAAATCTAAAGAGTAAGTAGGGATCTATTTTTCAGGAGTGAATTTAAGGAAATTACATATCAAAAGTGGATCTCAGAAAACATACAAAAACTATGGATTGGTAAGATACTTTTCTAGAATACTTTACAACTAGGTGGAGGTTATTATGATTCTTTAGACCCCAGAGAAGAGAAAAACAGAAGAGAAATTGTATATTGCATCATGATGCTCACCTCTCCACATTGACAGTTTTCATACATGGAAAAGTACCCAGACTTATATCTCTCTCTCTCTCTCTCTATATATATATATATATATATATATATATATATATATATATATATATTTCTAGAAAGAGACTCATTATGTCATGTCCAGATTTCACTGCTAGAATGTCAGATATTTGTATCTGTAGGCTGCTTATAACATTCCTCACAAGAAGCCAGATTGTAGAGTGTATATATGTATGTGTACATATGTATCATAGCCACCAAATGTGAAATTATGTTGACAGCAAAAATATGACTAGAATTGGAGGATAGTATGTTAAATAAAATAAGCCATGCACAGAAAGACATTGCACACAGAAGTTGAGAGAGTTTGGAAGCAAAGTAAAATAGAGGCTGGCAAGGGTCTGGGAAGTAGAGGAGAAAAAAGATGGGACAAATAGAAGGGAGCAGTTGTTTTAGAGAAAAACCTTCTAATTTTCTATAGCACAGTAAGATGGCTGATAGATGTCAATTAATTACACATTTCAAAATAGCAAATAGGATGTTAATTTCCCACCACAAAGCAATGATAAATATTTGATGATGGACATGACAATTGCCCCAATTTGATTGTGATAAATTGCAGTGAAATGTTACTTTGTATTCCTTATATGGCTTCATGTCTGTTGAAAAAATAAAAAATACACTGAAAACATCAGTATCTTTCCTTCTCTTTTTAAAAAAAGTTTATTTATTTCTATTTAGTATGTATGGTAGTTTGTCTGCCTGAAAGTCTGTATGTGCACCACACATGCCTAGTGCCTACAGAGGCCAGAAAAGGGTGATCCCATTGACTGGAGTTATAGTTGGGAACCACCATGAAGGTTTTGAGACCCAGTTCCAGCTTGTCTGCCAGAGTAGCAAATGCTTTTAACCACTGAGCTATTGTTTTAGCACCATTCAAGGGCATTTCTTCATGTGAAGGATACACACACAAAAAAAAAAAATCTGCAAAATTCTATTCACATTAGATACAAAAGCTAAAATAATTAGTAATAAATTCAGTGGAGGAAGGGATAAATCTCTATGATGAGAAACATAAACTATAAAAGAGACTGAAATAGAGACAAATAGAAAGGTATCACATGCTGAGAGATTAGAACAAATAATTTTAAGATGTTAAAAATATGCAAATTGATCTACAGGTTACATTAATACTTATCAATCAAAATTCTAAAAATTATTCTTAAATTTTATATGGAAATTCAAAATATTAATTCTCCAATTCAATTTTAAGATTAGGGAGAAAAGTCTAGACTTTGGGAGACTGGTCAGTTGGCAAAGTGCAGTACAAGCATGAGACCTGAGGTGATCTTCCAGAACCATCATCAAAAAGCTCAACATGGAGGCCCTCACTTGTAAATACAGTTCTGGGGAGGTGGAGGTAAGAAAATAGTTGGTGCTTGCAGGTCACAGTAGAGTTTCAGCATCAGTGAGAGACCCTGTTGCCAAATATGTGGAAAGCAACTGAGGAAGAAACAACTGGTATTGACTTCTGGCTCTCATGCGCATGCATACATACATCTGTCTGCAAACACAAATGCACTCATGTACACACACAAGAGCAAAACCCAAGACATCATACTTCATGATCTTAATATAGTCTACAAAGCAGTAGCAAGGATGGCAGTATGGTACAGGCCTAGAAACAGGTGAACCTACCAGAAGAACAGAATAGAAATATCCCAAAATAAGCCCACATATAGTTGACTGATTCTCAACAAAGATGCTAAAAATATACTTCATGCCAAGGACAGTGACTAAATTAGATCATATTGGGTAAAAAGTACTCATGCACAAAAAAAAAAGCTTGAAATTATACAATTGTCTCTCACAGAGTCAAAAAATGACTCCATATGGCTTAAAACATAAACCTAGGAGGTCACTAATTACCATGTAAATTCCACACAAACCTTTTTTTTATAATTAGAATTCTTTTTTTTCTACTATTTTTTCTTATTTTACATATTGATCCTAGTTCCCTCTCCCTCACCCGCTCCCATGCCTCTCCACCCTCCCATCTCATTCCCCCTTCCCCACTCCACAGGGAAGGTTATGCCTTCCAGGAGGGATCAAAAAATCTGTCAAGTCACTTGGATAGGGATTAGGCCCTCCCTCCTTCCTCTAGGCCAGGGAAGTATCACTCTATGGGAAATGTGATCCCAAAGTCCTTTTGTGACCAGGGATACATCCTGTTGCCACTGTCAGAGGTCCCTTAGTCTACCCAAGACTTCTAACAGTGACCCATGTTCAGGGTATCTGAGTCAGTCCAATGCTGGATTCCCAGCCATCAATCTGGGGGTCATTAGCTCCAATTTGTTCAGTCAGCTGTCTATGTGGGTTTCTGTAGTCTGGTCTTGTCCCCATTTTATTATCATTACTCACTCTCTGCATCTGTATTTCAGTTCGACTCAGTGTTTAGCCGTGGGTATCTGCTTCCGTTTCCATCAGCTACTAGCTTGGGGCTCTATGGTAGTAGATAAGTTAGTCATCAATGTCATTATCAGGAAGGGCATTTAAGGTAGCCTTTCCACTATTGCTCAGATTGTTAGTTGGGGCTAACCTTGTAGGTTTCTGGACATTACTCTAGAGTCAGTTTTCTCTTCAAACCTACAATGGCTCCCTCTTTTGTGGTATCTTTTTTTTTCTCTCATTTATTCTTCCCCTGACTCTTCCTAGTCTTACATGCTCTCTTCTCTTCCCAGTCTCTTTCTCCTAGCTCCCTCTCCACTCACTGACCACCCTTTCCCAATATGTTCAGGAGATCTTGTTCCTTTCCCCTTCTGTGAGTGACCTTGTATGAATCTCTTAGGTTCTTCCTTGTATCATAGTTTCTCTGGTGCTATTAATTATATAGGCTGGTGATACTTTGCTGTATGTCTAAAATCCATATATGAGTGAGTACATACCATGTTTCTCTATTTGTGACTGGGTTACCTCACTCAAGATGGATTCTTCAAGTTTCATCCATTTGCCTGGGAATTTCAGTATTACTTTTTTTTTTCCCCGCTGAGCAGTATTCCATTGCGTATATGTGCCACATCTTTATCCATTCTTCAGTTGAGGGGCCTCTAGGTTGTTCCAGGTTATTGCTATTACAAATAATGCTGCTATGAACATAGTTGAACAGATGTCCTTGTTGCATGAATGTGGATCATTTGGGTATATGCCTACAAGCGGAACTGCCAGGTCAGGTGGTAGACTGATTCCCATTTTCCTGAGGAACTGCCTACTGATCTCCAAAATGGCTGTATGAGTTTGCACTTCCACCAGCAGTGGAGGAGTGCTTCCCTTTCTCCATATCCTCCCCAGCATAAGTTGTCATTGGTGTTTCTAATTTTAGCCAATCTGGCAGGAGTAAGATGGTATTTCAGAGTTGTTTTGAATGCATTTCCCTGATAGCTAAGAATGTTGAGAACTTTCTTAAGTGTCTTTCAGCCTTTTTGATTTTCCCTATTGAGAAATCTCTCTTCATTTTTTAATATGGTTATTTGGTGACTAGTTTGTTGAGTTCATTGTATATTTTGGAGATCAGACCTCTGTCTGACATAGCATTGGTGAAGATCTTTTCCCAGTCTACGGGCTGCCCTTTGGTCTTTTCAACTGTGTCCTTTGCCTTACAGAAACTTCTCAGTTTGAGGAGGTCCCATTTATTAATTGTTGATTTCAGTGTCTGTGCTCCTTGAGTTAGGTTCAGGAAGCTGTATCCTATACCGATTTGTTCAACGACACTTCCTACTTTCTCTACTAAGAGATTCAGTGTGGCTAGATTGATGTTGAGGTCTTTGATCCATTTGGACTTGAGTTTTGTGCATGGTGATAGACATGAGTATATCTGCAATCTTCTATATACCATCATCCAATTGTGCCATCACCATTTCTGGAAGAAGCTTTCCTTCCCCCATTGTATTCTTTTAGTTGTTATGTCGAAAATCAGGTGTTCATAGGTGTGTGTGTTAATATCAGGATTTTCATTTTGATTCCATTGGTATACCTATTTTTGTGCAT